CCTCAAGACTTGGGGTCTTCTGATGTGGAATTTTGTGGATATTTCTTTGATAATTTTTCTCATCTCCATTTTCTCTGTGTTCTCTTCCTGAAAGTCCTATTATAGTCAGATATTAGTGATATTCCCGCTTGTATTGATACTCTAATTTTCTTTACATTTTCTCATCTTTTGGTTTTACTTCCTAATAGCTCTCCTCAATTTCTTTTTCTGGCAGCACAGTCCAGAGAACAACTTGAAATTGAGTATTAGCCATGCTTTTAAAAACCACTAGTCATTCCCATCACTGGAAAATTCTCATTCACTTCTTCCATGTGGCACTACAGCAGCAACAGCTTCCCCCCTCTCTTCCTTTCTCCCTCCCTCCCTTTCTCATTCTCTAAATTCAGAATCCTTAGCCCCCAAGTCCCACTCCTTTTTTAAAGATCTTTATTGAGATATAATTTACATACTTTATAAAATTCACCCTTTTAAGTATATACTTCATTGTCTTTTTAGTAAATTTGCAGAGTTGTGCAACCATTGGCACAATTCAGTTTTAGGACATTTCATCACTACAAAAAGAACCCTGTATACATTTGCAGTCAATTCCCATTCCTGTACCCTGCCTCAGGCAACTAATACTAATCACTATTTGTCTCTATTGATTTGCTTTTTCTGGACATTTCATGTAAATGGAATCATATAATATGTAATTTTTTTGAGTATGGTTTCTTTCACTTAATGTTTTTAAGGTTCATCAATGTTGTAGCATTTATCAGTAGTTCCTTCCTTTTTCTGTATTCCATTGTATGGCTGTACCACATTTTGTTCATCTGTTACCAGTTGATGGACATTTTTATTGTTTTTGGTTTTGGCTAGCATGAACAATGGTCCTGTGAACATTCCTGTAAAAGTTTTTATGTGGACATATGTTTTCATTTCTCTTGGGTATAAGTGGGATTACTGTGTCTTATGATAAGTGTATGCATAACTTGCCTTGACAAATTCTTTTCAAAGTGACTGTATCACCAGCAATATCTGCAAATTCCACTTGCTCTGAGTCCTTGCCAAAACTTGGTATTGACAGTTCATTATGATTTTTTAGTTTTAGCAATTCTAATAGGTCCTGATTTCCAAATTACCACATAACCCAGCAGTTTTACTCCTTACTTTTCTACCAAAGGGAAATGAAAAAATATGTCCACACAAAAATTTGTAGTATATCCATTTCATCCAAGTTGTCAAATGTTGGCTTAAAGTACTCTCTTATTTTCTGCTTAATATCTATAGGATCTGTGTTGATAACCCCTTTCTTATTCGTGGTATTGGCCATTTGTGTTCTTTTTCTTGATCAGTTAATCTAGCTTAAGATTTGTCAATTTTGTTTCCATTTTTCAAAGAAGGAGCTTTTGGCTTTTTAATTTTATTTATTGTTCATTTTCTATTTTGATGATTTCTCCTCTTTATAAATTCCTTTCTTCTACTTTGGATTTAGTTTGCTCTTCTTTTTCTAGCATTTTAAGGTGGATTGTGAGGTCATTTGTTGTAGATACTTATTTTCTTATAAGAATTTATAAGTTTCCCTTGGACCACTGCTTTAGCTACACTCTACAGATTTTGATGTTATATTTTAATTGTCATTCGGTTTAAAATATTTTTTAATTTCCTCATTTTATCTTGGACTTGTGAATTATTTTGAAGTATATTATTTAATTTCCAAGATATTTGGGGTTTTCCTGGGTATCTTGTTATTATAGATTTTTAAATTTAATTTTGTTGTTGTCAGAGAATACAGTCTATATGATTTCAAGCCTCTTAAATTTATTAAGACTTGTTTTATGGCCCAGTGTAAGGTCTGTCTTGGTGACTGTACCATATCTACTTGAAAATAATTTGTATTTTTCAGTTGTTGATGTCGTTTCTATAATTGTCAGTTAAATCAGGGTGGTTGGTAGTATTGTCATAGATAGTATCTATGTCTTTTCTGATTTTTTTTTTTTTGTCTAATTCTATCAATTGCAGAGGGAGGGGTTTTTATATTACCTGATATTTTTGTGGTATTGTCTATTTCCCCCTTTATTTCTGTCAATTTTTGCTTCATATATTTTGAAACTCTGTCATTAGGCACAACATACTGCTAATTGTTATCCCTTGTCTGATACTAAGATAGCTGCTCCAGCCTTCTTATTCCTAGTCTTCGCATGGTGTATCTTTTTATATCCATTTACTTTCAACCTATATATGTCTTTATGTTTAATGTAGATCTCTTGCAGGCAGCATGTAATAGGGTCTTCTTTTTTTATCCATTGTGTCAATATCTGGCCTTCAATTGCAGCATTAACCTAGGAGTTAGCAAACTCTGGTACTCAGGCCAAATGCCTGTTTTGGTAATAAAATTTTATTGGAACACAGCCACATGCTTTATTTATTATCTGTGGCTCCTTTTGTGCTACAAGACAGAGTTGAGTAGTTGTGACAGAGACTGTGTGTCGCAAAACTCCTCAAATACAGTCATGTGCCACATAACAAAGTTTCAGTCGATGATGGGCCACATATATGATGGTCGTCTCATAAGATTAGTACCATATGGCCTAGGCGAATAGTAGGCTATACCATCTGGGTTTGTGTAAGTATACTTTATGATGTTCATACAATGATGAAATCTCCTAATGACCCATTTCTTGGAACGTATCCCTGTCATTAAGTGATGCCTGACTATATTTACTATCTGGTCCTTTAGAGAAGAATTTTGCTGACCTCTGGTTTAGACCGTTAGCATTTAATGTGGTATGGTTGGATTTAGGCCTATTATTTTATTACTTGTTTTCTGTTTGTCCTCTCTTTTTTGTTTGGGTGTTTGTTTTTCTTTTTCTCCTTCTCTGCTACCTTTTGGATTTTTTGAATTTTTCCTGGTATTTCATTTTATCTATTGGATTTTTAGCTATATTTCTCTGTATTTTTAAGTGGTTGGTCTAGGGATTATAATATACTATAATATCTAACTTTCTCAGTGTGATAATATTGTGCTACTTTATGCAAAATGATGATGGTAAAACCTTGCAGCCACATGTAGGTCCCTTCCCTTTACCCCACGGCACTGATCTTTTTGCTATAGTTATATGAATTATATCTCCATACCTTGAAAACCCCACCAGACAATATCAGAAGTTTTGCTTTCAACAGTCATACAAATTTTTATAAAACTTAGATTGGAAGAAAGGAATCTGTTATATTTATCCAACTATTTTCCATTTCTTTTATTCTTTCTTTCTTTTTGAAGATTTAAGTTTCTGTCTAGTATCATTTCCCTTCAACCTGAAGAACTTCCTTTAGCATTTCTTGTAGATCAGGTCTGCTGGTGATGAATTCTTTTAGTTTTCTTTTATCTGAAAATGTTTACTTCACATGCATTCCTGAAGGATTTTTTCACTGGATATGTGTAACAGAAAAAAACTACACTCCCCCTGTCTTTGTCCTCTACTCTCAATACCTACTATACTCACAACATTCACTTCTACCACTAGATGTGTGGTTTTTCCACATATCAAGTAATTCTTTGTGACACCTCCTGGGTGTCCTATAATTCAATTCAATTCTGACATTAACTGGAGTTAGTGCAGACCCCAAAGGTTAAGGGCTCAGTCCCACAAGACTATACTCCACTTCAGGTGACAATCACAAGTGGTAGGTCCCCAGATTACCTACAAATTCTGTCCAACTTGGCTACAAAGCAGAGGTTCCGATGATCCCCTCTTTGGATTTGATTGATTGTTAGAATAGATCACAGGACTTAGGGAAACACTTATGTTTACCAGTTTATTATATAATAAAGGATATGATAAAGGATACAGATGAACAGCCAAATGAAGAGATACATAGAGCACAGTCTGGAAGGGTCCCAAGTGCAGGAGCTTCAGTCACCATGGAGTTGAGGTGCACCACCTTCCTGGTACATGGATGTTCACCAACCCAGAAGCTCTCCAAACCCTGTACTTTGGGGATTTTTGTGGAGGCTTTATCGCATAGGCGTGATTGATCATTAACTTAATCTGTAGCCCCTCTCCCCTTCCTGGAGGATGTGGGAGTGGGGCAGAAACTTCCAAGCTTCTAATCATTACTTTGTCTTTCTGGTTACTGGCCCCAATCCAGGAGCCCACCAAGAGGTACCTCATTAGAAAAAAAAACATTTTTATCACCCAGGAAATTCCAAGGGATTTAGGAGCTCTGTGTCAGGAACCAGGGTCAAAGACCAAATATTAGAACAAACGATGCTCCTAGTACTCTTATCACTTATGAAATTACACGAGTTTTAGGAGCTCTGTGCCAGGAACTGGGGACAGAGACCAATATATATTTTTTCTATTATTTCACAATATGGAATTTTAGGTTGCCAGTTCTTTTCTGTTAACACTTTAAAAATATTGTTCCAATCTTTCTGGCCCAGCAGATGGTCTATCTTGGTGATAGTTTCTGATGAGAAATCTGCAGATATTTGAATTATTGTTCCCCTTGAAGATAGCGATCCTATCTTGGATCTTGTTCACCATTACCTAGCACAGTCCCTGATACACAGTAAGGGTACAATAAATGTTCATTGACTTGAATTATTTTGATTGTATGACATTTTTAGTAAGTTAATATAAAGACTAGATACGTTTATTAGGGTTCTATTTTGGCAGAATCTGAATTGCCCAATAGGTGTTACTGCTGTTATAATTTATAATACAAGATCACTTTACTGTACATGAATAACCAGATGAATGAAGGCAAATTACCCCTTTTCTGAAATGGTTCTTCTTCCATTTTTCCTTGGTTACTTGGCTTTCTTTCTATGTAAAAGGAAAATTGGAGGCAGCAGATGTTTTTCAAACCTTTTTTCTCCCTTCTCTTTTGCATAGATACTACTCATCATTTTATAAAATAATGGACAATTAAAGGACATGCAGAAAGAAATGAACCAAAAAGTGATCTGGGAGAGTTCTGTGTTTCATAATGTTACGTTTGATGTTTAATATCTACAGAGAGAATCAAATACAGCAGAGATTTCCTGTTGAAGCTCTCAAGTGTTTCCATATGCAGGAAAAAACCAGACTTTCTGCCTGATCATCCCATTGTACTTCAAAAACCAGTAAGTAGTTTTCTAATTTTGTATTATTTTAATTCCACAATACATCTTTAATATTTTCATTTGATTCTCGAGATTTTGTGTGTGTGTGTGTGCGTGAGGAAGATCAGCCCTGAGCTAACATCCATGCCATTCCTCCTCTTTCTGCTGAGAAAGACTGGCCCTGGGCTAACATCTGTGCCCATCTTCCTCCACTTTATGTGGGACGCCACCACAGCATGGCCTGACAAGCGGTGCCTCCGTGCATGCCTGGGATCCAAACCTGGGCTGCCAGCAGCAGAGTGCGCACATTTAACCGCTACACCACTGGGCCGGCCCCTGATTCTCTAGATTTTTAATCTTTCTCATTGTGGAATATAATTCAGAAAAGTACATAAATCTAAATGTATAGTATAACCAATTACTGTAAGTTTACCACTCTGGTCAAGAAATAGAATGGAATATTGTATTTTGTTTAAGAAATACTTTTCTATTGAAAAGTCATGAAAGAGCATTCCATATTATCTTTTAAAAGTTCTGTTTTGTTTTTCAATTAAGTTTTATAATCCCCTTGTAATTGATTTTACTGTATGATGTGAGGTAGGGGTCAAGTTTTATTTTTTTCTACATGGATATCCAGTCATCCTAGCAATATATATTGAAAGGATAGTCCTCTGCCACCTTTGTGGCAGTATATATGTGGTTTGTTTATGGGCTCTTTTGTTCAATTAGTCTTTTTACAGTAAAACTAGTTATCCCACTTACTCTTCTTCAGCTTGTCTTTGCTGTTCTTAGACCTTTATATTTCTGTGTCACCTCATGAAACTCCATCAAAATAAATACAGTAAATGAATACATATATGTATCTTTTAGGATATTGATTAGAAAGGACATGAGTTTTGGCATCAGGCTGGGTTTCAAGTTGTAGCTCCACTCTGTGTACTGGTATACCATTCAAACTTAGACAAGTCACTTAATCTTCTTGAGCCTCAGTTTTGCCATTGCCAGTAAGGATGATAATCTTCAATGTTAGGATTAAATGAAATAATGTATGAAAGTGCTTATTATGGTACTTATCTCTCTTTATAGAGCACTCAGTAAATGTCGATTTCCATCTTTTAGGGTCTTGACTTCCATTCTGACTGGAATTTGACTTTCTTTTATTTAGAGTTTTCATAAACACTATTGTATACAGGTAAAAGCAACTAGAATTCTATTGTGATGAGTTCAGAATATAAGTATGCTGAGAATGGCTCAAATGAGAGCTATAGCCTGCCACCTGTGTTCTCATTTTTGAGATTTCTAACCTTTTGGAATCCATAGCCTTTTTTTTTTTTCTTCGTAGTTATATATCAATGTTTCTCAATGTAAACTCCCTAACCTTGCAGCCAGCCAGCCCAGGTGGTCTAGTGGTTAAGATTCAGTGCTTTTACCACCATGGCATGGGTTCCTTTTCCATCAGGGAACCACACCACTTCACTTGTCTGTCTGTTGGTTGTCATACTGTGGTGGCTGCGTGTGGCTGTGACGCTGAAAGCTGTGCTACCAGGATTTCAAACACCAGCAGGGTCACCCACGGTGGACGGGTTTCAGTGGAGCTTCCAGACTAGACAGGCTAGGAAGAGGGACCTGGCCACTCATTTCAGAAAAATATTGGCCATGAAAACCCCATGAACAGCAGCGGAGCATTGTCTGATAAAGTGCTGGAAGGTGACAGGAAGGTGCAGAAAGACCAGGCAGGGTTCCCACTTTGCTGTACACAGGGTTGCTAGGAGTCGGTGGCACTAACAGCACCTTGCAGACCTCCAGCCAATTCTTCTTTTTAAAATGAAAGAAATTTAAAAGTTTTTTTTAAAAATACCTTGTACACAGGAATATTTAATGAGGAAAAATGTCCTTGATGTTTGAATTTTCCCACTAGTTCAGGGACCTTAGGGGCATATGATCCTTGATCTGTAAGAGTAAATCTAAACTTCAATTCTATATAAAATAGTCACTTTTTCATTTGCAGACTTTCCATCTCTAATACCATTTTATTTTGTAAATAAAAGTTTGACATACACATTATTTTGAACAAACCTTGTAAACTAGAATTCAGTTTACTTTTGATTTATGCATTAACATTTAAAAAAAACTAGGTACCACAAAAACAGAACAGGTTTGGAATACAATCTAATATATTTAAAAATGAATTATATATGTTTATTAAACATGGAAAAACTTTTATTTGACAAATTTCAGTTACTTTAATAGTTTCTATAGTAACATGCATTTAGATCTATAAACAGTAGGGTCACAATATTTAGTTTGATAAACTAATTAGTAAAAACTATTTATACAATCTAATTGATAACTTTTTTCTATATTACAGGAAGACAACCAAAGTTTTAAGTAGCATTTTAAGAACAGATGAATTTGAAGATAAAGAATTATTCGTTTTATATTTCGGACACCTACAAATCAAGTGGCTCTAGTAACAGTAACTGTAACGAACTGTAACAATTCAATTTATTTTTAATTTTGATGGTTGAGTATTTGGGTTCTCCTAAAATTAGAGATGTTTTAAACTATAAAGAATTTTTCTAATCAGTTTGTTTTGCAGGCAGTTTCCTGCATAAATTGGGAAGTAACACTGCAAAGTAAGAATTTGGTTAATGAAGTGGGAAGACTGTGTATTTAAAATTTGCATGCCACTTGCAATTTTTTGTTTTTCATCACTTGTAATAACGGAAATGTAAGCTGTAAAGATTCTCAGATATAAACTATTTGCTACGATGTATATATGGTACATAATTTTTTGTTGCTTCTAAAGTTGCTTTTGTTCTGTTTCCCACTGATTTCATACCAGCCTTTGAAAGGATATTTACAGTCTTTCCAGAGGCTTAGAACAATTCAGGATGTTCAATGCCTAGTTCTCAATGACAGGAGGGAGAATATTTTAATAGGCATTTCTTTTCAAATATATGGTTGGTCTCTAGATTTTTAAATAACATTGTCTAAGATTCATAATTACTAGCAGAGATTGACAATTTGGAAACAATGGTAGTGAATGAAACTGAAGGTGAAAAATAGCTGCTACTTGTGTCACTAATCAGACCACATGAACAGTTGAAGTTGAACTGCAAAATAAAACTAGTATTTTTATTTCCAAAAGAGGAAAAATTTAGGCATTTGCAAATAATTGAGGTGCATTAAGTTTCAATTCTATAATTTCTTATAACAAGAACATGGATGGATGAAGAATTTTTGGGCTTAAACTTTTAGCACCTAGAAATTTTATACAATAAATCTCCTTCACTTTGTTACTCTGGATGTTACTGTTAAAAAATTTTTTTCTTGCAAAGGGTCAAAAAATTGATATAAAAGATAAGTGTAAACCCTCTGTACTTCTGTTCTCTCAGATTCTCTCAGATCTCTGGGTCTCCTGGCAAGGCATTCAAGGCCATCATTTGACAGAAAGTTTATTTTAAACTGAATTCTGAATTCCTAAAACTAGCACCTTTTTCTTTACTGGTCTTTGGGCTTATTACCCAGATTCAGGCTTTAGTCCATGGTAGGTTTCCCAGCTTGGTCTTTTAGTATCCTAATTTTCATTACTTTGTTCCACAGGGAAAAAAAAAACTTCATTAACCGTAAATTTATCGGTTACCTCACAATGAAATATTTATATCTAGGGCCCAGTTTTTTCATTTGTTTTTCGCCGTATTATTTTCCCTTTACATTATAGATTCCACTATATGTTTGTGAATATACACACGTTCTCACACACATACATAAAAATATATGTATAATTTTAGATCTGGAGTCATCTCAATAAAAAAAATTAAAAAAAAGAGCTGGAGTCAGAATTGCCATATAATTAAATTGGTTTGCTCTATTATTTGCCTATCCTCAAGGTCTTTTGATTCTGGTTAAAAACCTATGATAGAACCTTTTCCAATTGGGAATCTAAAGAACCCTTCCACTTAGCACTTTTACTGAGGGCAGAACCCTTTTAAAGTCATACTACCCTGCTACTTTGGAAACTGCCTAGTACGCAAAAGACTTGATGTACTTTCTGAATCTGATACTTGAAATGGACCGGCCATAACAATGTTTTGACTGGCTATAATTTGTATTTTTGAAATTATTTGTAACCATTTTCAAGAAGAGTTTGTATGTCAGAAATCCCCTAAGTTTCAAAGTCTTTTGATCCTTTCTTTCTGTATATAATCAGAATGAGACTACAAAGACTTTTATTATCTATTTGCCTTTGTACATAGCTTGTTTGAATAATCATTGTATATCTCCATTAATGTTTTTCTTTGCTTTGTATACAAATTAAAAGAGTTGAGCCAGGTGTTGTTTCTTAGTGTTTTTCATCTTTAGAAATGACCAGAGACATACACACACACCCGTGTGTGTGTGTGTGTGTGTGTGTGTGTGTATATTATATGTCAAAATTTACTATGTCTAGTAGAAGCTATGAAAAAAATAATTTTATTTAGATTGAATAGGGCTTGAGGTTATACAAAAGTGAGAAAATATTTTAGGTCAGATTTTATATTTAAAAAATAATATTTTAGTTCAACATTTCCTTTTTTCTGAGTTTTCCAACACTAAAAGAAACAGGAAACATTTTTCCTGAAAGACCTGTGGTTTCAAAGGAATTTGGACTAGAGAATAATATGGTAACAAATTTGTATATGCATTGTATTTTCATTAACAGTGTTTATAATCAGAATAGATTTTATTAAAAATAGTTAATTTATGAGCTTGTACACCAGAGTATATAAGGTACTTAGTTCTTCTAGTGAAACTGGGGTTGTAGTCATTCTAGTGTTGAAACTGGAAAATAAGTGTCTTCTGTTCCGTACCTTCCCTACTATTTTATTACTTCCCTAAAGTTTTATGCTTGTTATATATTCTTTGTTCACTTAGGTTAAAATTTTGTTTTCGAAGTATTTTGAAATTGTTATTTAAATGCAAGTGTCTTTTTCATAAGAAAAGTTAGCCCTCTGGATCACACACATACTCTCTGGATCATATGCCATAAAATTTGAACCAGATTTTCTCAAAGTAAAACTCTCCTCTCTTCTTGATTTTTTTTCACTTACATTTAGGGAATTATGATACTAATGATATAATGGCATTACATCACAAAATGGTATGTTCACAGAATTGTTCACTGTGAAAAACCAGTTTATAACCTGACAGATGGATAGAGATTCTATAGGTTATAGCCAAGGTTGTTTTATGCTCATGTATTAACTTTTGTTTTTAGCTTAACAGAAATTTATTTTCTCGTAGTTCTAGAGACTAGATGTCCAAGGTCAAGGTGCTGTCAGGCTTGGTTTCTCCTGAGGCCTCTCTTCTTGACTTGCACTTGGCCACCTTCTTACTGTGTCCTCATGTGGCTTTTTCTTTGTGTACGTGTATCCCTGCTGTTTCTCTTTCTGCATATAAGGACACCAGTCATATGGGATCATGTATTAACTTCTGAAGTGAATAGGCATAGGGTCACAAATTGGGAATGGAGTAGGCATTATTGAAGAATAAACTCTCACAGAAAATCAGTTACTTAAAAATCACAAAACATTGATTTAACCTTTATAGTTTATGACACATCTACAAAAACTGTCCTATAAAGGACACTTTAAATTTTTCTTTATAATTTTTTTTCACAATTTTGTTCCTTTATGTGCATACTTTTTTCACATACTAGGATTTTGTGACTAAAGGGTTTTAGGTTACAATGTAGCAAAACAGCAGCAAACATTGAGAATAATAGTGAACTTTGAAAATTGAGCTAAAATTCACTTGAAAGGTAAAGTTACAGAAGACATATTAGAAGAGTGCACATCTTAGAGTAAATATATTAAAAGTATTGAGTAGATGAATAACTATGGAGAATTTTCTAATTCACATTTTAGATAACGCTTGTTTTGCACTTGGAACCCTAAAGAAAATGTCTAGGAACATCTAGTTGTTGTTCAGGATCCACCATGAAGCTGAAAAGAGAGAAACAATTTTTTAAATAATGAAAATAACTGCCAGGCTAATTAAGTTAAAGGTGCAAATCATTCTTAAAGAGAGCATTTCCCCCACCTTTAATCTGAAGAATTACTTATCTTTCTAGTCACTTTTTCCTGACTGAGCCAATATTGAACACTTCCTATGCAGTTATTTGTACCATATCTTCTGGCACTTGGTCATACGCTAACTAAAAATTTTTTGTTATGTATGAATAGACCTTGTCTTGGCAATAAGATTATAAATGCCCTGAAAATAAAATCATGTTGTTGTTTTAATCTACCCTGTACTGGCACTAGTTTGGAAATATAACATAAAAGATACTTTTATATACTGATTTCAGAAAGATTGGGTATAAGGAAGTCGATGTGTTTTAAATATTTTTTAGTATATCTATACTATAAAATTGGAAATGGTTTTCCCTAGTGAATATAAATAACCCAAAGACAAACCTATGGCAAAGAAGTAAGATTGGTGGAATGCTGTGAGAAAGAGAGAAATAGAAAGGATTAAAATTTGTTTTCAAAGCTGTTTAAATAATACACTAACTAGCAATAGGATCTTCCTTTCTCATGTATCTTCTTTTCCCATAACCACAGTCCTTTCCCCTCTGCCAAGGGATATTCTGTTCCATAGACTGAATTCGCATAGTCTTTTAGTCTGGGTGGTTTATGATGGCTAATGGGCTTAAGCTGCCATATTCCAGTATGCCTCATTTGAATGATTTTTATATTTGCGAGTTCATAGGAATATATTTTGGTTTGTATTTTCTAATCTGGATGCAGTCGGGTTTAGTTGCTTTATTTCTTAAGATGTGTATTAGGTAGACTACTTAGAAATCTTTAAAAAAGCAATCTTATTAGAAATCATAATTTGTTAGTTAAATTAGAAATACAAACCTATTCATCTTGTTTCTAAATGTAATAGCTTTTTTCTTTCAGATTTTTATTTTAGGTCTAAATATGTACAGCTAACATGTTTTTCTTTCTATTTTTAGCCTTCATAACCATATAACACACAAAATGCACAAAACTAGTTATTAAAAATATTAGAAGTCATATGGCCATTAAAACAGTAAGTAATATATATAAGCTAATTCAGCTTTTTGTCCCAGGAGGTGTGTATGCTGTTGCAATAACAAAACTTTCACTTTAAAATAGAGTAGGATGCCCCAGTAGATGTTAAAATCTTGTTTGAGGCAGGTTTAAAAAATTGTGTTAGAAATCAAGCCTAACTTTTCTTTTCTATCAAATTCCCGTAGTTACTGTTGAAATTAGATGTGATATGAAAATTAATGTAAAATAAGGTAGCAGTTAAAAGGCATTAAATTGTATTGAATTCAAGCTCTGAGAACAAGAATTGATGCAGTTTTATTTACACTCACTCAGTTTTTCTTTCTAAATTACAAAATGCTCTGAGAGAGTAATATAATGCATGTACTAATGACACTAATAATGGCACTGAAAGTTAATCCAAGATGATGAAGTGGAGTTGGGCCAGAAAAATCAATCAAGTTACTATAAATACTCTATTCTTGCTATGGTAATTTTTCCTACTAACTCATTAGCCTCCCTTTCTGTACTCTTTCTTGTATTCTTGTTCAAGTGTTTTCTGTCCTGGAAAAATTCAAAACACCCATAAGAACAAGCTTCTTCTGTTGCTTCTACATTGTTGAATCAGTAGTTTCAAGAAAAGGAGAGTTGAAAATGGGTATGATGGAAGACACGAAAATTACAAGTGTCAGGACTTCTTGGGAAGTTGTCATGACTGAATACCGATGGCATTTATGATGATGTCAAAGTCCTTATTTATTCCTTCATTTAGGAAATATTTGTTTCCTTGTGCCAAACACTGTACTAACACTGCATTACTGTAAGGGATGTGAAGATAGATAAGATGTGGATCTTGCTTTCCTGCATTCTATGCATAAAGGCTGCAGCAGTCATATTTACAGAAATTATTTATGTTCTAGTTCTTTTCTTCCCATTTATAACAGACTGTTCAAGTCTGGTATAATAGTTGAGCTAAAACTTTTTTTGGGTAAATTCAAGGCAGTCATTGAAGTCTGTTCCTTAATACCCCGTGCTACCACACTCACCTGCAATTTTCCTGAAGCTATGGTGCATCCTAGTTTGTTTATTTTTTTATAATTTTATTTATTTATTTTTTCCCCCAAAGCCCCAGTAGATAGTTGTGTCATAGCTGCACGTCTTGCTGTATGTGGGACGCGGCCTCAGCATGGCCGGAGAAGCAGTGAGTGGGTACGCGCCCGGGATCTGAACCCGGGCCGCCAGCAGCAGAGCACACGCACTTAACCTCTAAGCCATGGGGCCGGCCCGGTGCATCCTAGTTTAAACTGCATGAGTCAAATTGTGAATCACGAGAAATTTCAACCATATTCATGGCTTTCTTATTTGAGGATTAAATCTGAGATATACAGCAAGAGAAATTCTACAAGTCTACCATCTCTAGACCAGACAAACCTGTCCCTAAGATCTAAAGTAAATATGTAACTAGAGCTCAGGCTGAGACTGTGAGTCAGCCAACTTGAAAGCAGTCACACCTGATCTCCCTCATCTAGTCACCTACGTTCAATTCTAGAATTTACTTTTTCACTTTCCATTTTTTCCCAGTCAATCAAAATCTGCCCTAATTTTTAAATTCCTACTACTTTATTAAACTGTACTCTTGGACACTGACTTCTTGTCAAATCCAATTTTCAGTGCCATTCTCTTTAGTCACACTCTACTACATAGGTCCCTGAAGAGCACAGTTCCTTGCATTTTATTCCTCTTGGTTTCCTTGACACTCTACTACTATGATTCTCTGACCTATGCTTCTCCTCAGTCTCCTTAACAAAGAGGCTTTTCTCTCCCCACCTTCTAACTAAAGGCATTTTCCCAGGCTTCTGTTAGATATCTTGTTCTTTCTTATACACTTGCTCACCAATCCCAGGCTTCAGCCGTCATCTTGCTGTGGTTAACTCCTGAAAATTGTTTCCGCAGGGAACTCTGGGCAGCTCCTGGTTCAGATGCTTCTTTATCCTGGCCTAGATTATTGGCCTGCCTGACCAATCTCTCTCCTCTCTATGACATCCACCTTTCTCCCTCCTGACATAGATACTACTGATTAGAGCATTCACTATCCCTTTCAAAAACCTTTAATGACTCCGTATCACTGTAAGAAGAAAGTTCAAACTCTTCATTATGGCATTTTCAACCTCATTTCCTACTCTCTCTCCACATGTACCATATATAAGCCTTATGCTTTAGTCATACCTTTGCACCAACTGGCCAAGCACATTCAGCATTTCTTGCATTTGTTTGTGTCTACAGTTTACCTCTACTGAAGTACCCTTCCTCTCCACCTTTATTGTCCAAATCTCATCTTTTAAGGTCCACCTCAAGGATCATCTCCTCGTTAAAAACTGTTAAAGAAGCAATCACTTCTCTAAATCCACATAGCACATTATGACTCTAATAACTACTATGTTATGCCCTGAGCTTGGTTTTTTCCTGCAAACATCTGTCTTTCCTACTGGACAGAAAGCATTTTACGGGTAGGGACTGCATTTTTACTTTGTACCCTTTCTACCTCCCAACACAATGCTTGTTCAAAATTGGAGCTCAATCAGTGCTAGTAAACAGGCTAAGCACCCCACTAACCCCAGTGCCTAGCACTGAGTGTTAACTCAGTAAATATATGTTTAATCTGTAATTGAATGGATGGGTAGATGAGCAAATAAATTTTGGTTCTCAGTTATCTTAAATGAGCTTTGGCTAGGCCAGAATTCTTACACAATTTCATTTCAAATTTCTTTCCTTTCTCCTTTCCCCAAAATACAAATAATATTTTAGCAGCTATTATAGTAAATTATTTCTAATATAATTCTAATGTCTAGTCTGTGGGTCACTTATTTCAAATTTTATTCAATACACTATAATGTAGTAAAGCATTTGAATAATTTGAAATACCATGATTTGACTTGTACTGTAAATGTGTTAAAATTTTAAAGGTGACCAGCAAATGACTAACATTAGGTTTAACACAGCCAGGAATACAAATAGGCTCAACTAAGGACTAAAGGCGATGGAATATATAGATCTCTTACTTTTTCCCTCCACTCTCAAATTTTAAGATCTATAAAGAAATAATAAAGAGAGCACCATCAATAAATTGTGGGGGGAAAGTACAAACTATTTTTTAAAAAGTGAAAGACAATACAAAAGCACATAGAAGCATTATGAACCCAGGATAGTTACCAGGAACTAGCATAGTGGATGTGAGTTCTGGAGTTTCCAAGAAATCCACGTTACTTCTTTGAAATGTCTTGCTATAATTCGTCTGAAGGTGGCTGTATAAATAATTATAGGTTAAAGCCATGCATTTTTATTACATATCTTCCTAAGGCAGAGTATAGCAGAGTTCAAATTCAGTCAAGGTGGCAAGGTTTTGGATGATTTGGATTAAGTGCCTGAATACAGACTTCTTTTTAAGGTTATTTAGCCTTTAAAAAAAAAAGACTCAAGGAATATAACAATTATCATAAATTTTTAAAAGAATATTTTTAAAAACAGGAGAACATTAATTCTCTATAGAAGATAAAACAAAAGGAGATAGGCTTTAATTGTGGCAAGAAGTTTAAACAGAAAGAATATCTTGGCTGTCAGTATGTTTAAGAAATAGGATAGCTAAAAAGAGAGGCTATAGAATTTCCACCCCTACAGAATAAAAAGAAATAAAAATCATCTATCTTACACTGTAGGCCTGGAAGCACAGAGTTGAAAAAGTTGCCTTTAAAGCTCCCTTCTGTGCCTGAAATTCTCTTGGTGTCGTTATGCATTATAGCACAAAGTGCCTTAAAATAGCCACAAAAATAAAATTTGTAGGTGAAGTACGTATCAACTAAATTTCCAAGTATTCTGTTACTTCCATTACTGTAGTTAACACCCTAAGTATGGGCTCACTGGAGAGCTATATTCTCTGTGCCATTTAAAACCAACTAGAATTATTTATATAATCTCAGAATAGCAAAAATTTCCTTCATCACATTTTTCTAATGATATATTTGTTATTATTTTAACTTCAAAGAAGTTGATTTGTTTTTTAACTTTATCGAGGAAAATTGACAAATATATATATTCAGTGTACAACGTGATGATTTGATATACATTGTAGAATGATTACCAAGAGACGTTAACTTGTTTTTTTCCCAGTGTCTTGAATTTCCCTTTTATTTGCAGTGTCTACATTTAGAAAAGTTAAGCTGTGCTGATCTTAACCATTATATATAGTTTTATTGTAAAATAAAGTAATAACTGCAGAGCTTATGAAAAATTAGGAAGTAAATTTTTTTCTCATCCTTCGTTGTCTGTGTCCTTTGTCCCCCCACCTCAGACACTCATGAGCCACATCTAAATCTTCTTACCAGAAGCATCGGTAAAATGGTAATATTTAAAGTGAGATCATCACCAAAAGTATTTGTGCTTCAAGAGAAAAGTGGTTTCTAATCCATGAAATAAATTCCTAAAAGTGTGGAATTTAGGAAAATGAGCAAATGGGACAGGTTTTAAGGTAAGGTAAAGGGAATGGAGCTTTTCCTACAAGCCCTAAAATTACATCATGTAATATTACTCCCTGGCAATTAAAAAAAAAAAGGCCTGCTCATAACTTACCTATTCCACACACTACTATTCTCCCAGAACTCATAAATCATATAGCGAGATTCATTTGAAAGCTTCTGTATAGAAATACTGAAATGAAGAAAAAAGGCATAATTAGCTACAGGAAATTGAAGACAAGAAAATTGAAAGTTTTGTCAAGAATTGATTACTTCAGTATCTCTGTTTGACATAATTTTTTAGTTTTCTGGTTTGCCATCATGAAGACTGTCTCAGTATATTATAGACATCACAAATATGATTTTTGTAATATTTCATTTATTTGTTCAAAAAGATTGAGTATCCGTTGTGCCCTGGTTCAGAAAAATGTGTGTTTGCCACTGCCCTTGCCCTCAAGTGTAGCTCTTTGGATTGATCCTGTCAGCCTCTAGAGCTCTTGCCAAATTCTTGGCCTTTACTCCTGTCCCTGGATTTACAGCTTCTGTTTGGGGTCCTGCTATAAGCCAGCTGAGCCACCTGGACCACACTGCTGCTACACAGCTGACTGCTAGTTTGCCCAAAGGTCTTCCTTCTTTCTCTTTGACACACACACACCTCTCACCTTTCTGTCCAGATCAAGTTTGAGAGTCCACATTCTGGCCAGAATTGTAGTTTTTTTTTTTAATTGCTTTTCCAATTTAGGGAAGACAAATGTGTTTCTTCTGGCTCTTTGATTAGCCTGAGAATGGCTAAAGCCTATATAGTATGTTTTGGAGGGGTGGTGGGCGGTGGTTGAAAAGACAAGTTGAGGCGAAGGCTGGATTTAATCCTGTAGCGGTGAGGAGCAATGAAGAACCACTGAAGGATTTAAAACAGGTACAGTGTCATGGTTTTAAAAGATCCTTCTGATGGCAGTGTGAGGTATCCTATGGAGAAAAGTAAACAGCAGGAAGAAAAGCTAGAAAGGTGGTGAAATCACTTAGGTGAGTGATGAAGATCCAAATTAAGGTAGAAAGAAAGGAGGAGGGGACAGATTCATAAACTTAAGGGAGAGTGGGAGACCAGTATAAAGATGCCTTTAAAAAATTAATTCCACAAGTCTGGCTTGTTCAGCCTAATGTTTCACAATATATTCAGATTAGAAATCAAAATAAGAGGTTGGAAAAACAAAAAAGATATTGATTTATTAGAGAATAAAGAACACATACCAGTATAATAGTCAAGCCAAATGTAGATTTAGGATTTACCTAAGCGTGACCAGCAGGTGGTGGTAACTACACACAGAAATTTTAATACTTTTTTTCTTTAGCTCTTTGCCTGTAAATAGTTTAATGTTTTTCATAGAGTTGTTTATCTAGCTTGCTTCATTAAGGTATGATGTAGCAAATATTGTTAGCTTAATTTCAGATTGTGGGGAAAAGGTTTATAATAGAATCAAAGGAATTGAATAGAAAGTGAAATCAGAGATTTTCTAATCCCAGGAGGTCATGGATAGGCTTGGGGGGGGGGGGGGGGGGGGGGGGTTTCCTTGAAATCCAGAAATGAGCTGCAAATTAATGTGTGTATCTATTTTTTTCTAGGAAGAGAATCCATAGCTTCCATCATAGTCTTAAAAGGTCTGTAATCTCCAAACATAACCTGATAATGTAATGGACAAATTTTAATCCATGACTATTTTTAGGATAAAGTTTAAAATACTTAGGCTAGCATTTTAGGCTCTTCATGAACTGCCTTCTACAAACTAATTCATTTGTACAACTTATTACATTAAAAACCCACTTATCCTGCTACCTGAACTTTCCTTTTTCTAGACTACCTATAAGACTAAAAGAAAATCACAAAATTTTAGCATAATTCTCAAGTTTTTGAAGGACTGAAGAAGATATCACAGTGTGATAAGATAGTGGTTTGAAGTATGGCCTAACAGGCTTACCTTCATCCACCACTCACTAGCTTTGTCACCTTGGGCCTAGTACTTCCTCATCTGTAAAATGATGACAGTAGTACTATGGGGATTAAATAAGGGGTTGCACAAAGAATGCTTAGCCCAGTACTTCGGATATTGTGTGTGTGTTTAGCTCAACAGCTAAAAAGACAGTAGCATTTTCACTGGGTGAGTAGTGATGAAAGCTAAGCCTTATGGTGTCAAAGCTGAGAAGCATGACAGAAGTAAAAGGAACAGGAGGGAAAAGAAACTGAGGGAAAAACAGACATATCTATGAAAACAATGAGAGGCAGCAAGCCAATAATGATGCTGATAATCATAATTATATTCTTATATGCACTAATCACAGTGGTGATGATTGCTAACTGTTGTTCTGTTCCAGGCCCTGATCTACGCATTTCCCAGGGATGAAGTCATTTTACCTGCACAGTCACTCTGGGGGTCATGTGGCAGACACTGTCTGTTGCCTCCCCGACTGTCACTCCCCCTGTCTAACAGAGCCCTGCTGTCGCTCGTCTGCAGTATATCCACTGTACCAGTCAGTGCTGGCTGAGACAGTCATCACAGCCTCACTCCTTTCTGCTGGATACTTGTTTCCTAACCTCCCCTGGAGTCAGGAATAACCATGTGACTTGAATTGGGCCAATGAGATGCCAAGGGAAGTATGCCAGGAAGCAAGGGCTTCTGGGAAACGTTTGCATCCTTAGGCTCAGACATGAGAGGAAGGCTTGCTGGTATAGCTCCCTTTTTCTTTCTGACTGTAGGCCATCTGGCGAAGAGCCTGATGACAGAGCTGAGAGAGAGACCAGTGCAGAGAGTGCAGATTTTTGTCTCAAAGGGACATGGGTGAAAATGCTAACCAGAATTGTTCTACCAGACTGGATGCTTTTAGTTAAGGGTGAAACGGACCAATATATAGCAGTGACATTTAAGGACATTGCTATTTGAGACTGTACGATACAGATAATGATACATATGCAATGATGACACTGAGACAGCAAGAAAAGTTAATTATGAAGTAATTTTTAAAAATGTTTCTGTCAGCAATATTTCTGTTAAAAAGGCTTAGAGCTTGAATGATTAGCTTTCAATTATTGGCAAACGTAGAATCACGCAGCACACCTCTGAGCTGTTGCTATGTGACTCCACTGACCTAAACGCCTTCAGTCTTCCTCCTCGATGTGTTCATACTTCCTGTGACACAACACTCACTGGCTGCAGCGAGAGTTCTTTGGTTAAGCTGTCCCTGGATGCAGTCCTAAGAGCTTCAGCCTTGAGCTCCCAGAGACCTTGAATAGTTCCAGCAATTGGAAAATGTCAGTGAAATGGCTTCTACGGGAAAAGGGTTGGCTCAAGAACAGTTGGGGTTCAAGATCTTACCTAAGGCAACTGGCTCATCATGGAAAAAACTCTTCCTTCCTCTTGGCTTCCTCTTTTCCCTGCATGCCTTACCTTATCACAGAGCCTGACCACTGGAGAAAAGGCACAACAGGAGGGACAGTCCCCGCATTTCTCCACATCAAGGAGAAATTTATTTCATCTGTATAATTTAATTTCACTAATTTATTTCATCTATATAAAAATGCTGATAAATGATTCATGGCTCAGTGTGCCACAGGTACCATTAGTTCTTAAGGATTCTACTTTGGCCATGGTAAAAGTCTCAGGGTTGATGTTTATAATACAATGCCACATTCGTGCTGCCTAGGCCCATGGCATGGAGTTTAGAACACATACAACTTCTAAAATTTCATAGCTGAGAGTAACTTCAGAAATCATTTTATTCTACATAACAGCTGTGAAATTTTAGGCCATGAATACGGCGTTAATTGCTCACGAATGAGTATCCTGTTTTCCCAACTGGATTGTAAGATCATTCAAAGCAGAAACTATTCTCACCATTTCTGGTGTTAAGCATGGAGAACACACTGTGTACACCACATATATTCAGTTGGTACCTCTCCACACCAAGCACTGGGATTAATGAGCCTTCATAATTACAAAATAGCAAAAAGAGCATCAATGTGTGTGCGTGCAAGTGTGTGTGTGCGTGCACATATGTGCATGTGTGCAAGTGTGTGTGTTATACATGGGTCACAGAGTTGATCTGCTTGAGTTTTTCACTGACTACTCTGACAAAGCCTCTGTCAGCCCCCAAACCTGTGAGTCTCCTAGTCAAATACCTAGTCAAAGACCTCTCTAATTCAGTGGCCTGAATTTAAAAAAGTAAGACCTTGTAATTGAAATGGGAGGGATCTTGTCCATTCTACTCCTGGTTAACCACAGAAAAGTCTAGGAAACTCCAAGGATGACCAAATTTTGGCAAGAAAGATTAAACATGGGTTTTGGAGTCAGATAAACTTAAGCAAGTTGTTTAACCCATCTGAGCCTTTTCCTCCTAAACTGGATGTGATATACACCTCAGATGATTGCAGTCAAGATTAAACAAGAAAATGGATGCAAATGCCTAATCTAGGACATCCTTAATTTCTACTTTATTTTATGGCAGCATTTCCTGTCTAACCCAGGTGAGGCTGAGCCAAACATGACGGGAGAAGAAGAAACTGCAAAACTCTGATGATTCCTAGAGCCTTATTTCATCAGCCCAGCACTAGGCAGCTGTGCCGGTGCGGTGGAGCATGACTGATGGCATGGGTGACGTGATTATTCATCAGTTGACACAGAAAACTGAATCTGATTAACTGGTACAACTGAAGTTAGACAGGCACACTGGCATAACGTGCATTCCACATATTTTCCATCCATGTGTGGAGATTCTCTGATGCTCATTCCATCTGATAAAGTCTACTTTTTGATAATTCCAGTAAAAGAAAGAAATCAGCTGAAAAATCAGCAATAAGAAGTGAGTGAAGAGGGGTCAGCCCGGTGGTGTAGTGGTTAAGTTTGCACACTCCGCCTCAGTGGCCCAGGGTTCACAGGTTCAGATCCAGGGCGTGGACCTACACACTGCTCATCAAGCCGTGCTGTAGCAGTATCCCACATACAAAATAGAGGAAGATGGGCACAGATGTTAGCTCAGAGCTAATCTTCCTCAAAAAAAAAAAAAAAATGAGTGAAGAGTCGTTAAAAAACAAAGCTGTCTTGCCAAGGAAAAGGAGAAGCTGAGAGTCTCAATTTATCTTACAGGAAAAATACTCTCCTTTCCTTTACGTCACAGCTGGAGCTGAGGGAGCGATTTTTTTCCCCTGGTTATTGACAGAACAGAGATTGCGGCAGGCAACACAAATGTATTTACTCTCTTATCCTCACAGCCTGTTTCCCTCACCCTGGGCTGTTCTAGTAGCTTCAGGTCATTTTCCCAACATATATTAAAGCAATGTTTTTGAACCTTAAAGATAATCAAACTTTGTGCCATGTTTATAAATGTAAAAAATCTAAACTATCCCTGGAGATTGTGATACACCAAACCAGACTTTATCTTTTTTATATCATCACTAATCAAAAAAGAGTTTACTGAATATGATTTCACTCATATGTGTAATCTAAAAAACAAAACAAACAGAACAAAACAGAAGCAGACTCATAGAGACAGGAAACAAACTGGTAGTTACCAGAGTGGGGAGGGCTGGGGGGTGGGCAAGATAGGTGAAGGGGTTTAGGAGGCACAAACTCCCAGTTATAAATAAGTCATGGGGATGTAATGTATAGCATAGGGAATATAATCAATAATATTGTTATAGCTTTGTATGGTGACAGATGGTAACTAGACTCATCGTGGTGATCATTTTTGCAATGTATATAAATATTGAATAGCTGTGATGTACACCTGAAACTAATAGGATATTGTATGTCAATTATACTTCAATAAAAGTTTACTGAGCTCCACTTTCTGCACTTTACACTGTGGATGATATACATAGATTCTTTGTGCATTTTCTAAATATTCAGTTTTATTCTTAAATGAATAGACTTTTTAAAACTACATATGTTCTCACTTCAGCAAATCTCTCTTAAGGCACTGAATTAAAAGGACTAACATGGGACTTTGATTTGTGCCCTTCTGAGCCTGTTGTGAAGCAGAACAACAACAACAAAGGAAACACAGCATTTCCATTTCCTGTGTCCCTGTTAGAAAGGCACTCCTGGGAAGATCTCGAGCTGTCTGACATCAGTGACTCTCAGCAAGTCCTCTTATACTCTGGAGAGGAGGTCAGCCAGCCAGACAACGAGGAAGCCACAGTAAACGCACCACTGACCCCAGCTCACACTTCCTGGGCCTCTGTGGATGGGAGGCACTGTGCTGAGCCCTCAGTTAATCCTCACAACCATTTCATGAGGATCTTGATGAGGAAACTGAGGCTTAGAGCCAGTAAGGGTCTTTCCCCAAACCACAAATCTAATACAACAATCCCACGTTTAATTCCAGAGCCAGACTTCTTAGCTGGGGAAGTATTATGCTGAAATATGAATAAAATATAACTAATTACTGGGAGGAACACCAAAGCACTCAGAGACATGAAGTATGTGTTTCTGTGTGTGCATACACACATGCACACACACACGCATGCTAAAAAGCTTTCCCAAAGCAATATTTGAAGAGCATTATGATACGCAGTTTAAACAAGCTCCCAAGGTAGGGGTAGATTCGGTTGTGGCAGTTTTCCAGAAGCACGTGAGTCGGGCTGGGCTGTGGACTTGAGGTAGAGCACTGGCTGGCAGAGACCTGCAGCTGGGTACACATTTCTGGGAAGGAGGTGGCCAGGTCTAAGACACCGCTTACGCTGGAAAGGCAAACGTCAGCTGCGCATTGCTGAGGCACAGCGCTCAGTGACGGGGGCAAATGGCAGCAGCGCTACGGATTCCTGGGTCTGCTGGCAGGATAATCGTAGGGTCAGGATAAACATCTAGCATTTGATAAGACACTCATTACAAAGTTACTGCAGGTTTCTGATCAAGGGAATTCTATGATAATTGTTCTGGAAAATTATTCTAGTAGCTATTTATTGGACCACTTAAAGTGGAGAAACTGAAGATGAATAGTTAGTATATTTTAGTATAATAGAGATAACGAAGTCTGAGCTGGAGTGGCCATGGGAAGAACTTTTTTTTTTTTTTTAAATGACCAAGGTCTGCAATGAAGACGTCAGAGATGGTGCAATGTCATAATGGCTGAAATGGTTATTAGGCCACAGGGCTTGCTGCCAAGGGAGCAATCAGAGCTAGATGCACTGGAGTTGGGCCTCATCTACCACAGGTGATTTTAAATCAGGGTGTGGGTCTGCCTGGATGCAAAAGGGAGAATTTCAGTCCATTTGAAACTCCTTTTCTCATTCAAATTGTTCTCTCCATTTTATTTCCCTTGGTGCCCTAATGATCAAATCCACATGGAGTCTAAGGGTAAAGACAAAACACCCAGTTAAACTGGACAAAATGCATCTCCCAGAGGGCTGGAATGACCAGCATAACTTTATGTGTGGATTCTCAAACGCATCTTCCAGACCTACCCTCATCTACGGCGCATGCGCAGCGGCGCATGCACAGCAGCACTTACCGCAAGCACCCACTTTGGGAGGAAGCACTCTCCACGTAGTGTCTCAGAGCAAGCTGGAATTCCTCCAAGTCCTCTTCTACCACAGACATCTGACGCTGCACAAGCATGATGTGCTGCCAAGGAAGGGACGAGTGTTACTGTGCTGGCCGGCATGGAGCCTCCCTACGCCAACCCCCTACTGCCCGTCCCATCCCTCCTCACAAAGCAACCAACTCTCATCTAAAAATATCACCAAGAAAGCTAAGGCTAGTCTAAGTAATAATATTGTATAAAAGCTGTAATATAGGCAGGATATTTTTCTTGCCTCTAGCAACAGATGATAAAGTGTTCTTCACGATGACATGTTTCCCTTTTGAAAGCAGTGGTTCTCTGTTAGAATCACAGGGGAGGTTTTAAAATTGCATTTATATTAGAATCTTTGGGAGTGGGGTGCAGACACTTTATTTACAAAAACCTTCCCAAGTGCCTCTAATGTGCAGCGGTGTTGGGATCACTGACCTAGAGTCACCAAATCCTAAAGAGAAGTCCTACTGTGTCCAGCACACAGCTCCCGCTTCTCCTTGGATGTTTTGTGATATTAGACATATTGTGAATATCATTACAAACAACCACATTTCAAAAAATGTGTTCACTGATGCATTTCCAAAGGCACATGAACCATCACAGGGTTCTCAAACATATTAACCACACACAATAGGCCCCACTCAAAATCTCACAGCATTAAATGGAGCCTGCATTTAATGGACCACACTGGGTTGGATGCCAACTGCTCCTTGTAACTTGTAACAAATCCTACTACCATTATAGCACCACTAAAGATCTGCCTATGGGCTTCTCATGGTATTTGATCTCAAAATTAGTCCTTTCCTCATCAAGGGTTGGGAGTGAATCATAAAAATGCAAAAAAAAAAGGATTGAGGGGTGCATCATAAAAGTGCAAAACAACAACAACGTTAAGGACGATTTGGAAAATAACTTGCAAAACATTACTCAGCTATGTAGTGACAGAGCAACAATTAAGCCCCTGGTTTACTGTCTCCTATTCCAATGAGTTTCTCACTTCATGTGAATAGCTACCGTTCGTTGAATGTCAATTACATTGTAGGTATTGTTAGGCATTTTGTATATTCAACAAATGTTCCTACTTTGTGTTCCTACAGGTAAATACTAGGTGCTGGATTCTGGGTATACAGTAATGGATCAAAACAGAATTCTTATCTTCACAGGGTTTTAAAGAAATAAACAAGGCTGGTAAACTATGTCTAAGGAGTAATTTTAGGTATGATTACTAGCACATGAAACTGACTATATGTAAATTGATCACAATTCTACTAAATTTTTGATGGGACTGTATTGCCAAATAAATCTTGATCTCAGACTTAAAATCCTTTGACTGTTTATTGCTTAAAATAATGTTTAGGCCTCCAAACTCACATGGGCAGGAAGCAAGCTGTAAATACTGCATAATCCCCAAGAAAGGTAATATTCTCCAATGGGCTGTTTCAGACGTGGTCATGGAGGATAACGCACTCTCAAAAGAACAACAACGGACAACAGATTTCCTCCCAAAATGGAGATCCCACGTCTAATCACGGAACTTCCTTCATTGACAATACCTTCCCAGCATGAATCCATTTTTGCAATGAACCAGTAGATGCTGTGTTTCCTAGGCATCCCTTTTCTGAATGGCAGTTTTTATGGCATTTATCCTGGCCCAGTTTTATCACTAATATTTTATCGGGGGGGGGCAGTAGAGATAACTTACCTCTTTTTTATTCATAAGTGTGTCAGACCTCAAGGGACTACATCCTAACCCTACACAGAAGACTGACCATCATTCAGGGATGCTGGATTTTGAGATAGAAGCAGTACTGGAAGAGACTTTGGGTGGTCTCCCTTGTGAAGGGGTCTGTGAGTATGTGCTATATATATGAAAAGAAGGATGCAAATAAATATCTGATGACCAGAAGGTAGACTGTGGCAGAGATTCCAAGCTGTTCATCAAAATCCAATTCTTTCTTCTTTCTAGGTACACAGCTAGACTACATATTCCATCATCCTTTGCAGTTAGGTGGAGCCAGCTAATGAGTTCTCACCAAGAGAACATGAGCAGAAGTGCTGTGTACTGCTTTTGAGAGAAGACTTTCAAGAAGGATGTGAGCCTCCTCCACATCCTTTCCATTTCCTGTTGGTAGGATGAAGACGTGCCTTAGGAATGGCAGAGCCACAGATGAGAGGAGTCCACGTCCCTGAATCATTGTGTAGATAGTTTACTGGGCAAGGAACAAACTTTTTATTATGTTGAAATCATTTTACATTTTGGATCTATTTGTCTCCATAGCCCAGCCACCCTAATGAGTTCAGTAATTTTAATTGAGCTTTTTTTATTTCCCTTCAGGATCAGGGATCAAGAATCAGTAGATACAAGTCTAAAATTATCTCCTAAGGTCATGTAATGAACAGCCAGCCTGCTGTATGACTCTCCCAGGCACTGGTTTTAATATCAATAACTAAGAGTTAAAGTAAATCTCTCCCAAAATAATTGCAGACGTGTCCTTTTGACAGAAATCTGCAGGGACTTCTTGATCAGGTATCTGTGGTTAACAATGACTCAGATGATTCTCATGGGCTTTCCTAAAGAGATATATAAATATATCCACTTGTTCCACCATAATTCTTTTAGTCCGAAGGCAATTCTTATGTGATCCTGTGGGGTGTATTGCAAATATGACCAGAACCCTTCACTACTTCCTGAACGCATGCCCTTTGAAGTGTGACTTTTCAGTTTCTTCCATCAAGACATGGATTTTATTTCCCATTCCCTTGGATCTGGGCTGGCCTGCTAACTTGCTTTGGCCAACAGAATGTGGCAGAAGTGACAGTGTGTCTGTTGCAAGTTTAAACCCCAAGAGGCCTGTAAGTTTCCCCTCTTTCTCTTGGATCCCTGAGATTGTCATGTGAACAAGCCCTGATGAAGCAGAGGTCAGCAAACTTCTTATGTAAATAAGAAGACAATAAATATTTTAGGCTTTGCAGGCCATATAGTTCCTGTCACAACTACTCAACTCTCCTGTTCTGGTGTGAGAGCAGCCATAGACAATAACTAAACAGGTGTGGCTGTGTTCCAATAAAGCTTTATATATAAAAATAGTCAGTGGGCTGTAGTTAGCCAGCCTCTGTGCTGGAGGATTAAAGAGCACAGAGAACAGAGCTGAGTCAGTGAGTCATGCCAGCCAAGATCAGCAAAGACGGCATGCGGCTGACCACAGATGCCTAGAGGAGGCCAGCTGAGACCGTAAGAGCCACCCAATTGATCCCACCCCAAAATGCCTTCCTGCAGAATTGTGGTTGAAACCACTCAATTTGGGGTGGTTTGTTATATAGCAATAGCTAATTGATTCACTCACTTATATACATGGATGTGAATATGATTTGGAAAAATTAAATTTACTTTGCAACCCAAACAAGGCATGTCTTTTTTCTCCTTTCCTCAGACGTTTACACAGAAATCAATTTATGAGGCCCAGACAACCTGCCCACGTCTTTTGACTATTGTGACAAGTGGAGCTTTTTAAATCTTGGTTAATTTGAGGTAAACTTTCTGAGGTCCAAAGAAAATCCTTAAATTTTCTATGCTGGTGAGGTCAAGCTGTGGGATGTGGGGTATGGAGATGTGGGGAAAGAGTCCTAATATCTTCATGATATTTCTATACGTCTCTTGTGTCAAGTACACAGCCTGCAATCCTTACCGAAATCTGAGATCCTATGGCGAGAACAGACCGTTCTCTCATGGTGCAGTGGAGTAGTGTCCATCTTTGTTCCTTTGCTGCGGGAGCGGGAGTGCAGCTTTATCACCTACCTTACATGGATTTTGTTACAATGGAACTATAGTGGAATATTCGGGGCTTCTAGGGCTGACAGGCACAGTCTAAGTATGAAGGGTTAATCCAAGTTTACAGAAGAGTATTTGCCAGTGACATTAGGTTATAGCTGCATGTGCCTTTCATTCTTTGGATTTTTTTATTCCAAAAAATTTCAGTTTTAATCACTGGAGACAGAGAAATGTTTTAAATGCGACTAATTTGTTTCACGTTGTCTGGCTCTGCTTGCTCCATTCACAATTGTGTTCCAAGCACGTCTCCAGAAACGTCACAGCCTTTCTTGTGTGCTCTCACTGAATCTCTTAACAGCTACTGCAAAACAAGACTGTGTTTTGGTAGTCCCGGACATAGTTGTGGGCAATAACCCCCAAAACATATAAGATTGTATGGCAGGGGCTGATTTACCTCACAAAACATTCTTCACAGGTTTGATGAGGGGACACAGGCAGAAAAACATGTTATATTTGTAAACTCCTTGTATGATAAGCTATTCTAGTGTACACAATAATATGCTCAAGAAAAGTCAGTTTTTGAGAAGCACCAGAAGGTGAACAAAGTTTGTTTGAAATTACACTGACTTTTTAAAAACTGCTTTTGAATGTAGAAAATATCTGGAAAATGATCATCTTTTTCCAATAGTCGTTTGAGAAAACGTGCCACACAAAGCAAACAATGGCACTGGGCAGAAAGGATTCAGGTGGAGCGATTCCCTTCAAAAATCATATTGACCTTTCTGGGGCCAGCCAGTGGTGCAAGCAGTTAAGTGCGCGCACTCTGCTGCGGCGGCCCGGGGTTCACAGGCCCGGATCCTGGGCACGCACCAACGCGCTGCTGGTCAAGCCATGCTGTGGTGGCGTCCCATATAAATTAGAGGAAGATGGGCACGGATGTTAGCTCAGGGCTAATCTTCCTTAGCCAAAAAAATAAAAATCATATTCACTTTTCAATGATTCATACCCAATTCTTAGTACTTGATAGCTAGAAGATAATAAATGGTCCCCAAATTTTCAATGAGTCATAAAGTCATGGTCTTGGACTTCAGATCTGGGTTTATCCCTGATGTACATTTATTTCCTAGTATAGCAAGAATAAAACTGTGAATTCCTAAACTTGCTCTCTGTATGACATGCTTGCTATAAGTCATTTGGAACATTTTAATATTCCTATGTAGCACCTTAGTGTTCTTTTAGTGCAATGTTAGAACTCAATGTTGTAAAAGATATATAAATATTATTTTTTAAAACTCCTACTTATTCTTTTTTATTTCATCTTAAATATTGTGTTGTTCTGGAAGCATTTCTTGGCCTCCTAAATTAGGCTGTATTCTCTTGGTGTGCAAATCTATACTTTCCCATAATAATCCTCATCACATTTTATTGTAGATCCTTGTTTAATTGCCTGTGTTTCTTTCTGGTCTGTCTTCTAGCCTATAACAGTCACCACCTTATCTCCAGACCCTCCCGCAAGGCCTGACACATAGTTGGTGATCAAGTTATTTGTGGAACAAACAAGATGCTTTTGCTTTTAGCTACTGACTATTCTTAAAATCCTTTAACAAATCTTGTTACACACTGTTCATTCCAGAAAGGACGTGAGGGGTCCTGAAAACCCTCGAGCACGGCGTCACTGGCAGGTGCTCTTTCAGCTCTCTGCATCGTCTTGTCCTCTTTCCTTTGTTCTTTCTCCACGAAGAGCAAGAGGTGTTGACTTAAAAGAACTGGCTTCACTTTTACTCCCTATGTGGCCTTGAGCAAGTTACTCACTCTTTCTCATCTTAAGTCTTCTGATATATAAAATTGGAATAGTGGGAGGATTAAATGGAACAGTGTATGTACAGATCTTGCCCAGGATAGATACTCAATAAACGTTACTTCTCTTACTCCAGGCTGAGAAAAAAAATGGACTTAAAAAAATAAATCATATCCTAGACTCATTGTTATGTAACGGCTCATACCCAAAAAACTAGATACGGCAGCTGCTAGGGTTCAGGACTTTCGCTGTGCGCATAAATAAGCCTACCCGATAATCTGCTCTGTTCCATGTGGGAAATCGCATGAGACGGAGCCCTCCACTAGCTCACAACCTCGCTAGCAAACCGCAACTCGACTTCAGCGCTCAGAAGTGCAGCAGACACCAGAGCCGCAGCATGGCAGTGAGGGGAAGAGAGTGGGCTCAGCGGTGGTGTTGAAACCTCGCTGCCCCTTCACTTCTTCCTCTGGAAGATGCGGCGAATAACAGCGCCACTTCCTGAGGCTAATGTGACAGCAAATGAATTATGTGTGTGTGTGTGGCACAACACTGGGCACACAGCAAAGGCTCAGTAATGATCAGCTTTTGAAAAAGAAACAAAAATTTATTCTTTGCTTTCTGATGCGAAATTTATTTTTCAAAGTTCTCACGTATTCACTAATGGTAAAGGAAAATACCTCTCTAGTCAATGAGTTCTAAAGACCTGGTTTTGGTCACCAGGACAAATCACTGAACCATAGTAACATACAATTATGAGTGCTAGCTGTGAAATAACAGTGAAAAATTGTTTTGATCATTCTGAACGCAGAGGTTTTACAGGAAGTGACAGTAATGCACGTACTAATGAAAAAATACAACTTTTAATGCCAAGTATTTTACCGCTATTTCTGAAAAAACAAACCAGTGCAAACTATCACTATATGCGTGTTCCCAAAGAGCATATTTATTTTACCTTTACACATAGTTGAAAATAGTTAAGAAATATCCTTCCCAGCTTTTAAATAATATTGACTACCGAACCACCTGTCCTAGTCCCATTTGTTTTTTAAGTACTTCCATGCCCTGTTGAATTAGTGATGCTGTGTGAGTGTGGGACTGCACAGACCTGCTGTTCCCAGTAGGTGTGCTCAACGACCCTCTCTCCTCTCGGCTTTCCACCAAAATCCACTACTTTAAAGGTTTTATTTATTTATTTTTCCCCCAAAGCCCCAGTACATAGTTGTCTGTCATAGCTGCACATCCTTCTAGTTGCCAAAATCCACTACTTTAAAACTCTGGGTGCCTGATGAATTAAAAGACCTCATTCCTGTCTTTAAAAGCACTGAACGTGTAATGAAAATATAGCTTATATCTGGGGAATGTGTCCATATCTATAGGGATTCTAATCATAACAGCTACTATTAAACTTTTCTGAGAAACCTCAAAGCTTCCTCTCTGAAGACTCCCTTTGTACTGTGAGTCTGGACAGACGGACAGGAGCTGACCCACAGGTGAGTCTCACCTTCTATCACATAGGCAGTGCCGGTGGAGTAAATGCACAGTGCAGAGGTGAAAGGTATTTCCTATCTTTGTTTTGCGTAAATGTGACTGAGTCTACAAGATCTACACACTATATAGTACATTTAAGGTATCAGTGATTTTCTGTGGGTACCCAAGATTTTAAAATCCAAATTTCCACTAAATGTAAATGCAAGCATCCAATTTCCCAAAATAGACTGTGCTATAAATATGTGCCTCAAAATAAAGTAAAATAATAAAGCATGGTATGTGTTGCTTTTCAATTAGTTAATTTATTCAGTAACTTTTTGCATTTAACGTACCTATCAGGATCACTTTGTCCATTTTCTTTCAGTCTCTGTAAGTTGCCACCACTCTGGCTGGACATCTTTTCCCTATGTGCATAAATGTTCCCTTTTCTCTAAACATCAATTTTTTCTTTGAAAAATGATTTCTGAGCATCTACAGTGTGCTTGGCCCTGGGCTGAATGCTGGAAATATAATAACAAATAGGACCAAGTTTCAGCTCAGGTGTAGCACTCAGCCTAGCAGAGTTTACAAAATGTGTTTATGACACAAATTTGAATGTTGCCCTTCTCTGCCAGTCATATTCATTCAATTATCTAAGAACCCATTGATTTATACATGCATAAAATCTTCATTTTGCACATATTACATGCCAAGTGCTTTCACAAAAACTCTGAGGTAGGCATTAGGTTTCCACAAAGCACAATTTAGAAGATACTACTTGGCATACAAAATGAAATATGCCCATGTATTACTTACTTTTTGAAATTTTCACTAAGACAGTAACTAATTCTGAAGAAATTAAATCGTTTTCAAAGTACCTATTTCTAAAATTTTGACCTAGAAAAAGTACTTACAGATTTAGTATTCCCTTCAATAACTTCTTCTTCCAGAGGTTCAAGTTTGAGATCCTTCAGTTAGAGGAAAAAATGAGGGGAAAACCAGAAACTAGTTAATTAAAAGAAACACCATATATTTGAATGGTAGCTCTTTTATGGCTAGTATTGAACCAAAAGAACCTCATTATCTGAAAGGAGATGAAGTACGTCTGATTTTTTTAATTGAGCTGTTCCAATAAAGACTTTTACCCATTGTATCGACTGTAAGGAGCCATTTCAGATGTGTTCAACTTGTTATTACTTTAAGTTTACTTCACTGATGCCATTAAAAGAGAACAAAGCAGACAGAAGATTCATTAAAGCAGAGAAGGAAAGGATAGGACAGTAAAAAGAAAAAGTTAGGATGACCAGGCTGATTTCTTTTGCTGTGAGTTTTGCCACATTTCTTGGGAGATCATGATAGTCATTAGTGCTACTGCAATAATACATTTATGCTCTAGTGATAATATTGCTTTATTAAAAACTGAATTAAAAGGCAAATGAAAACATTATTGATATTTGCTAAAAATGAAGGGCTGCTAAAAAGACCCGAGAATTTTCTGTGATGATCAACGGATAATGCTAATGTCCCAGTGAAACCAAGCAGATAATCTGAGGACTTCATTCTGAGACTATATATCCTAGCATAGCTGCTAAGTGAGGATTATGCACAGTAATTCCTTCAAATAGATAAGAAATAAATTGAAAGTTGTAGAAACCCAGACTGTCTGAAATAACATAAGCCTATTAATAACAGAGCTATGTAACTCGAGCTATGCTGTTCTTTTGCGGTGGAACTTGCAGTAAGTTATTTAATGTCTCTGGGATTCACTTTTACTGTTTCCTCTGCCTTAAATTCTCTATCTCTAGGTCTTCATCTAGCTGGCTCCTTCTTGTCTTTCACATCTCAACTCAAATATCATCTCCTTAAAGCGACCTTCCCAGATCACCCACTTTAAGTATCCACCGCCCCCCCATCTCTATCATATTGCCCTACTTTTTCTACATGGCACTTTACATTATCTGAAATTACTTTGTTTCATGGATTTGTTTACTTGGTTTTTGTCTGTCTGTCCAGAGACCCAGGGCCTTATCTGTTTTGATCACTGCTGTATTCCCACTGCCAGAATAGTACCTGGCATAAAGCAGACACTCAATAAATGTTAGTTGAATAACTGAATGGCTGAATGAATGCCCCATCTAAATCAGAGCTCTTCTGTGAAGGCAAACTTATATAATGCATATAGATGTGAACTGAATCTTAAAAAGTATTCTATAGACAGAAACTGTAACAACAGTGATCTCTTTGACTGCCTTTCCCTAACAACTCAAGTACACTTGTCACTTCTACCTTCTTTGATCTAAGGTTAGAAAAACGTAAAACAAGTTGGATGAGTGCAACACCCTTCATGACACCCCGTCAAATGAGGATACCCTGTGATCTGGTGACACACTCAGGACTTCATGAAAACTGAAGAGGTTTGGGGGTGGTTGTTTTGTTAAACATTAAAGGTGTTTTCTGTGGAGTTCAAGCAAAACATGAGATATAATCTCAATTGATCCCCATAAATACTCACAGAGGCTGAAATGGCAAGAAGGAATGCCTGAAGAAACTTGCAGAAATCTCGTGTTATTTTTCCCCCACAGGAATGGTATTGGGCTTGGTTTACAGCGCAGGGAAGATTTATTGTAAGTACTTAGTGGAGAGAAAAGATAATGCGTGTTCCACCACAGGTACGCCTGCTTCTAATGGGGAGATCAAACCTGGTGCCCACAACCGCAGGAGACAAGACAGTCAGCAGTGAAATGACACGCACTTAGCTACTGTTGGGCAATTGGGTAGTTTTTCTCTAAAAATCTAATTCAGCACAGTACAGAATAAGTCATAGAAGAAAACTGAACTTGCACTGCTTCTCCACTCATTAAAACAGATCATGCTGAGCCCCACACAGCTGGAGCCCCATGCTGAAGACCGTCCCATTGTACATTTAGTAAACCTCTCAGACACTGTCCTCAAAATGAAACCCTTTCATAGAAACAAAAGGAGAAAAAAGTCTAGGAAAGAAGGGCGTGACAATATTTTGATTTAAAGTTGGAAAAAAGGTATAACCTAAGTTTGAGCTATTCCTTTAAAAATAACTGTGTAAATTTAAGACACCAAATAAAGACAGATTTTCCCAGAACTTTGAAGCCATTTTTAAAAATAGTTATTTATGTTCTTTAAATGAACCCAAACTTATTTAACAACTGAATCCTTATGTTTTAACAAGGTTTTGTTTTCAAATAGGGTCCTGGATTTCCAGACCTTTCACCATTGAAAAATTAATTTTCAGAGCCACTATTTTTCCAATGAATCTTTTTAGTCTCAGCTCACATATCAATTAATAAAATTAGAAAGGAGGAAAGTTGATTTGCAGCAAGCTCTTCGTTTAGGTTATTTGCCCCAGTAAGTGGTCAATGTAAATTTAATAAATGATGATGTGGTGGCAGATGGACTGGAACTCTCCAAGGCTGCTTCCCCTGGACTTGGTTCCTTGTACAGAATCTTCTTTTTCAGAGACCTTACCCATCCTCAAGACTTGAGGTTTCACCTTTGTGGAGATGGCTGTTAAGACCTTGATCTGTTGGCTGACTTCTTGCCTACTGACGTCTGACTGGTATTACTGCCTAGACGTCCTATTGTATCCTTGAAATTAACACACCTAAGAAACAGGCCACCTTCTCACCTCACCAATTCTCTCTCCTTTGTCCCTCCCTTTTCTGCTAATGGTCTAACTGTCTCAGACACTCAGGCTCAAATCCTCAGACTCCTATTTGAGATTTCCCCTGTGGCTCCCATATCCTTCCAGAAAACTCTCTTTTTGGTTAAAGAGGTGATTTCTGTTGCTTGCAATCAAAATTCCTAATTGTCATCAATTTTAAGGGCCAACTTAAGCCCTTCCTGACACACAAGGTATCTTCCCAAGCACCCCAGCTCATTGTAATCATTCCCTCAGGTGAGCACCTGTCAATTTTAGCATCTGCTCCACTCCCTCAGCATCTCTCAGTCAGTCAGCAAGTATTTACTGACAATACGTATGAACCTGGTTCTGTGCTACCACACACACAAAAAATCTGTTAATTCATGGTTTTTGGAATATAGCTTATTTTATAAGGTAACTGTGGGTTCTTCAAAGTCAGTAACTCTGTCTCAAACATAAATGTTCTTTCTTGGTGCTTGGCATGCACAGAAAACTCACATTCTTAATGATTGCCAAAGGCTGCATCTTCCATCAAAGCTGTTTAAAGGGAATACGACTACAATATCAGGACTATTCGGTACTAATTGAATTAGTCAATAAAAATACAATAATTGGAAACAAAATATAGTTCTGAAGAGTTCTTCATCACATCCTAACTTGCTTGCTAACTGGGTAGTTTTAATGCAAAAAATCATCAGTTAATATGCTAATTTCTAGAAGTCGAGTATATAATCTCATCTTTTAGTATATCACACAGCTATTTCCCTGAATCACTTTATTTTTTTTATAATTTTATTTACTTTTTTCCCCCAAAGCCCCAGTAGATAGTTGTATGTCATAGTTGCACATCCTTCTAGTTTCTGTATGTGGGATGCGGCCTCAGCATGGCCGGACAAGTGGTGCATCGGTGCGCGCCCGGGATCCAAACCCGGGCTGCTAGCAGCAGAGCGTGTGCACTTAACCGCTAAGCCATGGGGCTGGCCCACCCCTGAATCACTTTAAAACATTCCCAAGACATCAACCAGGTTATCCCTAACAGCTGGCGCCTGCATCCTTCAAGCACACTGCTACCCACATCACTGAGAACCTAAGAGGCAATGCTGTAGATCTATTTAACTTTCAACCCTACGTCCTGTTTTAAATATAACTAGGGGTAGGGGTGGGAGGAATGAGAATTAACATGAGCTTCTATATTTAACAAAAAACTCAAATAATTACCAAGCAGCCATTCATAGCATCACTGGGATCCTGGCTGTTATTCTATTCATGTTGCAGCCATGCATATTGGGGCAATGAAAAATAATGGGTGAGAATCCACTGAAAAGTGAGAGAGAGAAGAAAGAAAAGGAAGCACGCACCTTCTTTTCCAGTCTATCAATTAGTTTCTGGAGTCTGTTTATCTGGGTCATCCACTGATTATCTTCTTCTAACAACCCTTGAGGGGAAAATCATGAGAAAAATATGTTAAATTCTAGACAGAGCAAGAATGCTTTGGTATCTCAGAGCTTTCCGTTTGCCCTGAAGGAAGAACACAGTGTCACTGAAGTCAACACATTTTTAAAAAATATATTTACATGAGTGCTTTCTAAGTTATTGATTTCCCTAGATCCATGCACCCCAGTGGGTTCATTTGCACAAGTCTGTTCTTTTATGTTGTTGCCTGTACTGGCCTTTCAAAAGAACACATCCTGCTGAGCCATTTTCACCACCCCATAAGGTGGTTGATTTTTCTTTAGAAAAAAGGAAAGCATCAATCAATAATTCTAAACTCACTTCTAGGGCAGTGGCAGGGAAATCACAGCCCTGACCACAACAAGGTACAGATTGTTACAATCAAAGAGAAGTATGGGCAAGGTAGCTGGTGTCTCCTTTCCCAGAGACTAGCCTGAGTATACGTGGACACTGTGGTCATGGCACAGTGGGGAAGAGAGCAGACTCTGGAGCCTGCAGATCTGGGTCAAATCACTTGACTCCTCCGGCCTCGGTATTCTCATTTTTAAGATGGGAATAATAATATCACCAGCCTCATAGTCATTGTGAGGATTAAATTAGAATATACATGTATATGCACATGTGTATACATACATACATATATGTATGCATATATGTATGTAGTGTATGTATGTACATGTATACACACATACACACACACATATATATCTGTGTGCACCGATGCACCACTTGTCCGGCCATGCTGAGGCCGCATCCCACATACGGAAACTAGAAGGATGCGCACCAGATTAAACATTTTACAAGTTCTGCTGCGATTATTGTTGCTGTTATTATCATGCAAAGGTGCAAAAGGAAGAGTGGTGGTCTGGGCCCCCTGCACAAACTCCTAGCATCCTTGTGCATCCTCACTGCAGTTTGCTCAAAACATTTTCACAGGCATTTGCTGAAGCAATATTATTTAATATTTCTTGATAGGAGTATGTGATTGAATTCAAAACTATAAAGCCTATTTCAGCATTGAATGTTAGGAAGATAAAACCTAAATTATAAATGGGTAGTACTTTACATTAGAATTCACTTCTCTATAAGCCTTCTCGGGTGAATCGCCCCTCAAAGCCCACCAAATAAATTATGATGCAAAAATAAGCAGTAGCATTGCCACAAAGTAGTGGCTACAAAAAATCAGAATAAGGGTGCTCTATAATAGAAAATATTATAAATGCATAAACGAAGTTTATGTTTATTTTTTAATTCACAAATTAGTTAACACATTTCCATTCTGGGTTGTTCCTAGAAGAATTTAAGGTGGCTGTCACAGCAAAGTCCCTTAGAAGGACAAAACTCTGTTTTCTAAATGGCTAAAGTGAGAAGAACAATCTATGTTTTGGCTCGGGAACCTAGTATTGTCATTTCTAGCCACATATGGTAGATTGTATTACTGTTCCCAATTCTTCACTTTCTTCCTGTTATAGAATTATATGTATACAGCCTTTGCCTCACAACTTTCCAGTGTCTCCTACCGCAATGGGTGGAGAACATTTCCCCACCATTGTTACTGGGTATGGCATGTGACTCATTTGGCCAATGGGGAGTTAGCAGATAAGATGCACAGAGTGGTTTTAAATGAGCTATGTGATTTGTCCCAGCTGCTTGTACTTCTGACACCCACCAGGAGAAGAAACTGCTCCAAGTAGTCACTGATCCCAGGAAGCTACATGAGGAGCAGAGCCGAAGCCAACCTACAGCCTGGAGCCATGTCCAGCTGACAGCACCCGAATCAAAATCAAGAATAGACCCATGAGAGAGAAGAACCCAGATATTTGCACTTGCAGTCACTGAGATTGGGGCTGTTTGTTCCACAATAAAAATGGACCAATCATCCCCATGACCTTGGACAAATCACTTCACTTTCTGGAGAAATGGAGCATCTATGTTATAAGATGGTAGGATAAAATATGACAGTGTTCAAGAAAGCACTCTGAAATCTTTCAAATACAGTCTGTGTAAATATAGGCTATAGTTAGGACTTTGATTTTCTGAAATGTTAGATATTTAAAGATTCATTTGTGTTAAAATGACATGCTGAAGTGATATGTGTATATACATATATATGCACATATACATATACACTTATGCATATATATGCTTTATAAAAATTACTCTGATATTTAGCAACGTGAGTTTGCATATTTCAAAGTGATTTTAAAGTAATTATTATAAATGACACTGTCAAAATGTAATAACCTAACAATTATTATTAAGGTTTTAGTCCAATAAATCTTATATTACATTATACACTTCAAAAACACCAGCTGTGACTTTAATCCTATCACGAAAGGAGACAAGGAACCTTTTCCTAAAATGAATTAAGAGTATGCTTAGGTAGGCCTGGGATCTAAGAGCATATTAGGGTGCAGACTAAAGGGGATCTCTGCTCGAAGACGGTGGGGATTTCCATAGGTCTCAAGTCTTTCATGTATTAGGTGACCGAGCCACCTTCTTCCCTACCCACCAGCTCTCTGTGTACGGCCCAGGCACACTTGCTGGGATTCGGACAGAGCTGATGGGGAGGAATCAGCACTCCAGTTCTTAATACCTTAGACTCTTTGCCACTGTGGTTTCAGATAAACGTATTTGGCATAAGTAAAGCATTCCATTACTATTGTTGTTGTAGCTGCTTTTTTAAAAAATAAGTCAATGTGAAAATACACATCAAGTCGACTCTGAAGAAGAACAATGACAAAGCTGCCTTACCTGGAGCGCTTACAGTGAACTGAGGGCTGTTGGGGGAGAAGCTGTTGTGTCTCTGGACGCGGCGACTTGACCGTTTTCCAGGCCACTGGATTGACAGGACTTCCGGCTTGGTTGGCCCTTGCCTTGAACAACAGAGACAACATTTAACCCCAACGTCAGGGCTTCAGTCTCTTGCCTCAAGGAACAGATCTTCAAGCATCGGTCATAACGATTTTCTGATCATGAAATGAAAATTTATGAGAGGTACTGCTTGCCAACGTGCCTTGGGGTGAGACTTGTATTATTTTTTGTAATGGGCTCTTGGTCTGTTCTATCAACGTGCAAACTCATGTCCTTGTTCTGAGAATTATTTCTCTGACAATTTCTCTCCTTTATTCTCTTTCTGGAATTACTACTTTTCAAACATTGGACCTCTTGGACTTGCCCTATAGTTTTCTTATTTTTTCTTTCCTATTTTTCATCTCTTTGTGGAAATGTCATCACATTTTTATCTCTAAACCTTCCTTGGAGGCTTTCATGACTGCAATCATAATTTCCAAGAGCTCTTTTGTGTGCTTTGAATATTCTTCTTTTGAAACAAAAAATAGCATTCTGTCCTTAATTCATAAATGCAATATCTTCTCTTAGCTGTCTGAGGGTATCTGATGATTTCTTTTGGAAGTTTTCTTCTGCTCTCTGGTTTGTTTCTTTTCAGCTTCTTTTCTTGTATTTGATTTGTTCTCTTGGTTGTCCCAGCCTGTTTCAGAGGAAGGAACTACAGGATGATTGGAATCTGTGTGTGTGACGGTGACTGTCCCACACACTGGCAGCCTCCACTGTAGAGTGGCCTGGCTAGGCCTGTTCACTGGGGGACACAGACTCTTAGTACCTTCAAGTCTTTTCCCTTGGACTGATGAGATCCCTCAGAGATGCATCCCCCCACTGGAGGGTAGGAGGCTGGCTGTCAGTGCTCTGGGAGAAAAGCATGCTGAGGGGGTTTCCAATCTCACTGTTCAGCATGGAGACTTTCACTTGACACCTCATTTTTCAGTCTCATGCCCTGACCCCCACTTGTGCCAGTGTATATCTGGTCTCTTTCTCCAGAGAGCACACTTCTAGGCTTCTTCAAGGACTGGGGAGCGGCAGTCACTACACAGCACTGGGTGGAGCTTTCGACAGCACGTCAGCCCCGCTTCCACCCCCACTACCAGCTGCACGTGGCGAGGCCAGTTCTTGAGGCTGTCCGGGGTTCTGTGAGACCAACCGCATTGCATCTCGGCTCCTTACACTGCCTGCTCCCATTTCAGCTTTCTCAGATCTTCCAAGTCAGTTACCATTAGATTCACCTTCTTTCCATATTCCAAATTTCTGTCCTTTCAGCTCTTCTATCCTTTTTCATCTTTGTGGGTTTATAACTCCTTTTTTGTCCAGGCACTTTTAATGCCATTTTTTGAAGCAATTAGGGAGGCAACAAAAGAAATCATATATGTTTACTCTCCAATCTTTAACTAGATCTCCCTACAGATTTTCCTATGGCGTAAAAAAAATATATCCATTGTTTAGCAGCTTCGGTGGTCCTAGGAGTAGGTGATTAGAGCAGTCTTTCTCTATGTTCAAGCTGAGGGAATGAAAACTGCCTGAACTTTTATAATCACTTGTAGGTGAAATTAAAGCCTTTCCTTACTTCTGTAACAACCAGCAAAAGGAGAAAAATAACTTCCAAGTCCAGAAGGAATCAGTCATCTCTCTGGATAAAGAAGAACTTTGGAAAATAGAGCAAACTTGAAGATTCCATTATAAAAAAGAAATTCACATGTAATTAAATGTGTTCCCAGAAATCTGGCTTTTGAGGAAGAGGCTTATGTAAGAGGACAGGAGTCCCCTAGAGAGAAACTTCTGTATAATGTAACGATTCTTCTTGTCATTGGCCATTAGGTACTTTCAAAGGACATAGAATTAAAGGGCTCCTGTTTCACCAGTTTGCAAAGGCAGATACAAAGAGTGTTGCAGAACGCCATCTGAAAACCTCACCTCTGTGGCATTCCAGCTGTAAGCATCCCTTCTCTCTGAAATTGCCATTTTCACATGAATAGACACAGACATTTTGCCCAACATGGCATGTCTAACTCATTACTGCAGGATGAATGAAACTTTGTAATTACTCCCTGGGGGCTGATAGCTAGAATAGATGACTTCTCAAAATTCGCTATATTCCAAGGAGTCTTTGTATCCCTAGGTTTTACAAATATTAACCCCCAAAGTAATATTGATGCTGAAGAGGAAGAAAATTATTATAACCCTGGGATTTTTAAAGATATCTGCTGGTTGCAACCCTTAACTGTGCAGGGCATCATGAAATCTTCTTTATGATATAATAAACTGATGAATTTTTTGATACACTAATTTGACCTCTCCTCTCTGAGCTTGTTCTCCTCTTCCCTACATCTTTACTACAAACCCATTGGGAGACTAATTTCCTTTAAACCTCATTTTCGGGTTATTTCTCTTTTATTTACAACATTCAATGACAATCTCTGATAGTATTAAATGTAAATGCAGCTATCTAGCTTTTAAGACCTTTCTTAATCCCAGATGCCAAGTAAGTTGGTGTCCTCACTGTCCCAGGCCCTCATCCACTGCTCCTTTATAGGGTTCCCTTTACCTGGACTTCCTTTTCATTCATCAGTTTCATATATTTAACAGGTGATTGTGCCGGGTAGAGGGAAACAAGGCAAAGCCCCTGCCATCTAGAAACTCAAAGTCTAATGGGGGAAATAAACAAGAAAGAGGCTGAGATTATAAGTAGAGTACCAAGGGAGTACACAATGATGGAGTGGGAGGTATAAAATCCTGTTTTGAGAGCAGTGAAGGCTTCCCAGAGAAAGAGCTGTCCAAACAGTGACCAAACAAACTAGGAGGAGTTAGCCAGATGAGAAAAGATGGGTAATATGGGAGGGGTGAGGACACCTATCCCTTCAGGGCGAATATCATTTTCATTATATTCTGTCATTAAATCCACCCTAAAGTTCAAGTTCAAGTCTTGTCTTCCCATGAGGCTTCTTTACTAGTCTCTTGTTTGGTATCATGGAAAAGGGACAGCCATCTTTCCCCTCTCTTCTCTCCACTGTGAGGCCGGGGGCTCTCCTCAACTTTGGTTTCTGGTGGTCAGTTGATAGGAAGACAGAGACTTGGGAGAGGAGACAGTCCCTGTAGGCTTGGGCCTAATTCACATGCTTCAGTCGGAGTCACCAGAGACTTCACATTGGATAGTAAGGGCAAAACCTATAGTGGAACCTTGTTTTCTATTTGCTTGTTTGTGTACTTTTTCTAGCAACTTCCCCAGGAGGCGTACCAATGATTTGCGGTGGGATCTGAGCATCGCTGGGGGCCTCAGTCAAATACTATATGATAGCACTACCCAAACTGACTTCAGACTGTATATTTCCTGCTCTTCCAAGCTGTTTTTGAGCTAGAAATCTAAAAATAAGAGATTCATTAGTCCTCTAGCATCTTTCTACTTTCCTTAAACTTTGTATTATCACACTCCTTCTCATTAAACACAGCTGCTGTGCAGCTGTTGGCAGCGGTCATTAAAGTTCAAGGCTAGCCTGTGGCCTGACACAAAGAATGGTTGTTCATTACACATTCGTTACATGGTGGCGAATGTAGAACGCAAGCTTGCAGGAGGTGACTATAGAAACAATCCAAAGTGCAGGCGAAGAAGGGGAGCAGAGCACCTTTTCAAGCTTCTGCTCAGGTGGCAAAAGACTAATTCTAAAAAGAGAGAATCTATTTTATGTCAAGAAAATCTAAACAAAAGAAACAACAAAACAGGCCTTATTGTCTCATTAGGAACATGAAATCGATGTCATTGTGCTTCAAGACATTCAGCTATCTTCTGCTCAAACCTGCGGAGTTGGGGTGCTGCTTTTCTAAAGCTAATTGTTACACTTTGCCATTTGATATGGTATCACCCAATGCAGTGAAATAGGAAGTTTATAATGTGAAAACACCACACACATTCACTGAAGAGCACACACCCATCGGCTGCACAAGCTCATTAGATCTGAGATTACAGGCTTTTTTGTTAGAATTTGGTGGCGCTCACTCATTTTGACATTGCAAATACATGGCTGAAAATTCCACTGTCTTTTTGAGATGTCATAATAATTATGTATCCAGTAATTTGTTTAGAAAAATCAGCCCTACAGAGTAGTCTATTATCAGACTGTTCAAAAAACTTACTGTGTGGTTTTTCCCTAATTTAAAATGCAACAGTTAGATAAGTCGTATCTATAGGTTCAAAGTTAACACATGCAAAAATATGTTGCATAAAGCACGAGTTTTGCCAAGCCCTTCTCTAGCTTGCAAGGTATAAACAATGACGACTCAAGAAAGTACCAACTGTTGGTTGGAATTATTTTGATGTCTGCTTTACATATTTCTAATTCAGGTTTCTCTTTAGCGTTAAGTGCCTTTATTTATATAACTATTATAATACCACTTATCTTCTCAGTGATGTCAATTGGTAGTTTTGAAATCTTTTCCCATCATTCACTTTTCCCTTAAATACTTAGGCTTATTGAATTCTCAAGGTCCCCGCTATATCCAGGTTCACTTAGCCTATAAGGCTCTTTCCCTCCATTTCCACATTTTCAAATTATACTCATTAGCAAGATGAGCTCAAATATTACCAGGACACTCTATGAAGTTGTCTTTCATCTCTCTATCCATATTTAATCTTTTACTCCTTTGAAATCCCTTGGCAATTTATTTCCTCTGCTCTGTGGTATTTACCACTTTGTACCTTGCATTATAGTTTTAGTGTTCATGTCTTATTTATGTAATAGACTTTAGCCTCCTCAAGGATTGGGACTTTATAAAGTATATTTTACATTATCACAGTGTCTTTTAAAGTGTTCTCCATCCACTAAATTCTCAATTAAAATTTGTTGAATAAAAAAGAAAAAGTAGAATGGTCTATTTTAGAGGCAAATATAAGGCAAGCACCCAGTGGAGGTCCCTGCCATTCTATTTAAATCTATTAATTCTCATTTTTAGTTTTCACTAAAGTATGACGCTTCTCAAAGGGTCTTGCATAAACAGTCACTAAAGAGATATTACATGAAAACATTTAACTTGCCTTTCTTGACGGGTTTGCTCCTCAGTAGTTTCCATAGCACATTCCAGAGAATTCTGGAGAGACTGTAGCTGATTCAAGGTCTCCTTCAATAAAAATCGAGTTACAAATTGCTCCAAATTGGAGGCCTCTTGGTAGTCCTAAGTATGACAAAACAAATGCAATTAGAAGTATGGGGAGGGAAAAATAGCCAGGGATAGTTTTTTCCCCACGTACCCATCAATCTCAGTTTAATCCTCAAGAAAGAGAGACAAAGAGGAGAGAAGACATGTTGGGCCCTGGAGGCTGGGGCAGAGCTCTATCCACCTCCCAGAATTTGAATAAAAGAGGTACAGAAACACCTGGAATATCTCATCTCCCACTGCACCTGCCTCAAGATTAGGAAAAAGGACAAAATCCAGCAAAATTATGGAATAGACATCTGTAGAAAAAGAAAAAATCTTATCTGGAAAAATGGTTGGAATGTGACTAACTCAGAGTTTGTTATATGTTTCATTTAAATGATGACCATGCCCTCCTATATTTTCTCTACTACCAGCTAAAGGCAGTCACGTTTCAGCAATTGGCTTAATTCCCTCTTGATGTCTTTATTACGCCGATCTGCATTATGCTGAAGCCAAAGGAAATTACATGATGTTATCTCAAAATTTAGAAAATGTTAGGCTTGGAATATTTAAACGGTTTACTAAATCTGCTTCTGTCCTTCCCTCAGGAACTCTACCTGATGCTCACTGTATCTAACTTCTAGGACAACACCTCAGCCAGAGAAGCACCATTCGTTCAACAGCCCTAGGTCTACAGGGAGATCAGCACACGCCTAACAGCTACACTTGCCGAGCTTTGTCTAGGTGGACAGGTGGGCTGTGGATGGTGCTACCTGCTGCTCCTGTCCTCTAAAGTCTCAAGGAGAAGCAACAAAGAAAGGGAACCAGCTTGGCACAGAGGGACAGCGCCAGGACCACTCTTTCAGGTCATGGGACCAGCCAGCTAAACCTGATACCTAGAGTCTCCAGTGAGCTCCGTAGACATAAGTTCAGCGAAGGAAAAGACTTCTTTGGCTCTATCCCTAAACAAAATGATTTTTTCATGGTTGAAAATACAAAACTGAAAGGAGTGATGGGGACAAGATAGTGCCAGGAGACACAATGTGCTGGGGAACTTGAGGGCATGGTTGTAAACCCAAACAAATAAGATTTAGTTGTTTAACCTTTCTGGGTCTCAGCTTTCTCACTTACAAATCAGACCAAGTAACTCTGGCATACATTCCAACTCAAAAATATTCTGTGCTTCTATCAACTCTAAATTGGGAAATACTGGACTTGTGGCCTCCTGATATAAATTACTTTGGAATTTTTCTCCTGTTAGTAGAACAACCTAATGTCATATAAACCTCATTTCTTTCCTAATTTGAAATCATAAAAGGTTTCACTCATCAGTCTCTTTTTAACCATTCTTTGCAGGTGAACAAAACAGGAAATTTTCTTATCATCGTCTTATTTAAAAATTAAAAATTTTAATGTCTTTAAACTCCACCTAACAAACTAACCATAAAACAAACCATTACATGCTTATAATGACCACATGAGGATTTTTGGTGAGTTAATTCAAGGTCTAAGAAATATACAAAATATTTAATTTGATCAAATTGCTTGCTATTCAGTGGTAACAAAAGCTTCAAAAAATTATTTCTCAATGTGTTTTTTAAAAGTGAGTAAAGCCAAAATCACTAACTATCAGGGAAATGTAAATCAAAACTACAATGAGATATCACCTCACGCCCGTCAGAATGGCTATAATTAACAAGACAGGAAACAACATGTGTTGGAGAGGATGTGGAGAAAAGGGAACTCTCATACACTGCTGGTGGGAGTGCAAACTGGTGCAGCCACTATGGAAAACAGTATGGAGATTCCTCAAAATTCAAGGATAGAACTACCATATGATCCAGCCATCCCACTGCTGGGTATTTATCCAAAGAACTTGAAAACACCAATTTGTAAAGGTACATGAACCCCTGTGTTCATTGCAGCGTTATTCACAATAGCCAAGACTTGGAAGCAACCTAAGTGCCCATCAAGGGACGAATGGATAAAGAAGATGTGGTATACATACACAATGGAATACTACTCAGCCATAAGAAACGATGAAATCCAGCCATTTGTGACAACATGGATGGACATTGAGGGTATTATGCAAAGTGAAATAAGTCAGAGGGAGAAGGTCAAATACCGTATGATTTCCTTCATTAAGTAGTAGATAATAACAACAATAAACAAACACATAGGGACAGAGATTGGATTGGTGGTTACCAGAGGGGAAGGGGGGAGGGAGGAGGGTGAAAGGGATAATTTGGTACATGTGTGTGGTGATGGGTTGTAATTAGTATTTTGGTGGTGAACATGATGTAATCTATGCAGAAATAGAAGTACAATGATGTACACCAGAAATTTTTACAATGTTATAAACCAATGTTACTGCAATAAACAAAAATTTAAAAAAAAAAGTGAGTAAAGCTTTTGAGATGAAAAGAAAATGTAATGATAGAAAAAGAGGTGTGCTTGATCTGTTCCCCATAGTTATGCCATTTTGCTAAAGCATATTTTTAAAATAAAATTTATTAAAATGATGAGAAGACGTAATTGTAGTCAGAGATCATGCCAATTATAACTGCATCTCAGTATACACTGCAACTAATCTAAAGCAAATGATAAAAGTTTTATACCTATTTGTAGACAGCATGGACAAGTATAGGAAGCATGTATTTACTGAGCAACGCAGCATTGTGTTGGCCTTATTCTTTTCTCATTTGTCATGTCCTAACTACAGAAAGGAGATGTTTTTCTTCTTGGAGTTATCCAATTTCAACAGTGGTCACTGTGGTTAGCTTTCAGCTTCTTAGACACAAAGGCCATGTCTTATACTTCTATATGCCTCGTGGTACCCGGAGCAGATACTCATTCAATACTCGATTATTTGCAGATCAGCTCCTAACTCTAAGAATTTATTGTGTTTGCTATTGTAGTCTTACATATAAAGATATAACGGTGATGTCAGAGTTAGATATTTATGTTAAATCAGACAACTGGCTACTCCATCGTTGTACTATTGCAGCAAATCAAGAAACTGTGATTACGCTGAGACTCATCTCTCACTCTGATACGAGTGTGCTGTCCTCACTGGTGACTTTCCAGGTGACAGGAAGAGATGGCGCGACCCAGTTGGTACACTTGACAGAAGCGTTGATGACTTGACATTGAGAGGGGTAGGGTGTGGGTTTAAGGCTTTAGGGGATTAAGTTTCTTGAGTCAATTACGGAGATGTGCTGTTCTGAGCTGCTCTTTGACAATAAGGAGAGAAAAGCACTTGTTCTCCTGCATTCCTATTGACTCTTCTCTGCTCACAGCATCGTCTGTGGACAGCCTCTCCTCCCCTGAACCACCACTTCTCTTCTCGGGATCAGGCACACTTCCTTTCCCTCCCCTGTGTTCCTGTAACACCTTTTCCCTGCCTGGGGGATAGAATTTATCCTTTTATTTTGTAATCTGTTGTTTACTTGTCTATCTCCCCCATCCTACGCCAGCTCTTTAAAGGCAGAGAATATGTCTTAATCATCTCTGCCTCCAGAATGCCCAGGACAAAGCCTGGCTCATAGCAGCTGCCCCATAAATGCTTAAAGAGTATGTGAGCAGCAGGGGGCCACCTGGAGCCTCAGGCACTATTGGGCGTGTCTGAGCTCTGGGACCTGCCCTCCCTCTCCCCAGCCCTAGCTGCCTCTCCCTGCATCTGGCCCTTGCTGGTGGCAGATGCTGCCATCCAGCGTGCCCAGTCATATGGTCTCTGCAATAAAGGGAAATACAGCTTTGTTCTTAACAGATTGTTTGTCGTTATTTCATTTTCTGGAACATTTGTTAGTCTTCTTCCCTTCCCTTATCCTGAATCCCAAGGTTTAGGACTGTAGACCCAGGTGGCATAGATCCAATCTCTCTTTCCTTCTCTCAGATCTGCAGCAGATGTTCCTTTGGAAGGCAGTGGCAAAAGAAGCAGATGGAAAATTAAATAGATAACAAGCTGGAAAATGTCAAAGCCTGGCCCTTTTTATTCTCAACAAATGTGTTGGTTGTGAAGGTACAAAAAGGGATCTTTACATATTGAACTCCCAGAAGATTGGTACTATGTTGGTTTAAGGCATATGCTCCTTTGAGCAAAGCCCAGCATTTGACAGACTGGCAGAAAGAACTTCTATTGGTCTAATAAAGCAGTAAAAAAAAAAAAAAAAAAAAATGTACGAATGGTACCTGATATCCAGATTCTGCTTTTTTCCAAACAAAGTTTAGTCCTTTATGTCTACTAGAAAGGATATGGGCAAAAGAAGGCTAACACTATGTTTCTCAGATCCCAAAAGCGTTCATTCAAGTCTTTTATAATTGGCAGTTAAATTAATCATTAAGTGGAAATTGTTAACCAAGCAGCATTAATATTTCCATTTGTGCTTTTGGAAAGCCAGAATGTAAACATTTCAATCCACATATTTCCTTTGTGTGGAGTTTGAACACGGCTAGGATTCATTCAAGTAAAAAACCTACGATTAGAAGAATAGTGCTTTGAAAATCAGGTTTCTTAGGGAACTGCCTAAGCATCTTAATTGTCAGATCATTTCTCAGAAAGTGAGCTCTTGCCCAACTGGGTGATGGAAGAGTGGAGATCTTAGCTATTAACCCACTATGAATCATCTGAGTTAATTAGGAAAATCAGAGCATCAGTCTTCCCTGTTTGTATTTGCCCTATTTGAAAATTAATCAATTCAGTGACATGCAGTCTCAGTGTCTCCTTGTTTATGAGATCAGGCACAACCACATTTAGCAGGAGGTACTGCTTCTGACTGGCTTTTGATCTAAGCCCCTGTAGCTCTTTCCGTTCTTGTGTGAGACATCTGTGCCGGCTTCTATAACAGGAAAATGTGCACTTTTACAAAGATAAAATTGGCTTTTTCTACTCTCCCTAAAACTGTTACTTTTTTTTTAATGCTAACTGGCTTAGACTATATTATCTATATCCTATTTTTTGAAACATTCTTAGGCTTTTATTTTAAATGACACTTTTTTTTTTTTAACTGAGAGAACACTATACCAAGTTCAAGCCT